CCTTACCGCGATTATCAGTTACCCCTCGTAAAAAGGGTCCGTCTATAGAAGTCTATGGGTTTCACACACACTGCATCCGACGTTTCGACCAATTGCGTTGCTCGATTTGGAATTAAACGACCGTATCAAGCAACGCGATTGGTCGAATTCTTGTACTGTTATATCGCATGGAAAGTGCGTGTTGTTAACTTTAAATAGATCACAATGAGCCAATCTTTTCGTCAACATCCAAACCACGTTGAACAGCACCAGTTCTCGTCCGATCACTGAAGTTAAGCAACGTTGGGCACGGTCAGTACTTGGATGGGTGACCGCTTGGGAACACCGTGTGACGTTGGCACCCAATTTTTTGCATTTTTTTTATCCAAGCGGAAGAGAAACATATCGAATATCTCTCTAGTGATAAGATTGATTAATCAGCTAACGATTCAAATTACAATGTAACGCGATTTAAAGATTGTATAATTGTTATTTAACGAGGTTAGTGCATCACTTTGCGGGAACGATAAGAGAAAAATGCTTGTACATGCAAATTTATCGTGTGTACCAACTAAAAAAAAGGATTAAAAATTAGGGTAATACTGAAGGAGAGGGGCTTCCTCGCCGATTTTGATGAAAATTTACAGGATCGTGTATTTTTGCCTGTGAAACACGAATCCGCAAGTTAAAATTGTCGCTCGGCACTAATAAAAGAGTTATAATTAATACTCAGAATATATTCTCTGCTTTATATTCGATAATGTATTGAAATAATAATGTATTGAACTGTTTGAGTTCTTGATTAAAGCCACTCCTGTATAGTGTCGGTTGGTGTCGATAAGACAGGTATCCTAACCCCACAACTGTCAGATTTTAACAATTTATAACTTTCTTATTAGTGCCGAGCGACGATTTTAACTTGCGGATTCGTGTTTTACAGGCAAAAATACACGATCCTGTAAATTTTCATCAAAATCGGTGAGGAAGCCCCTCTCCTTCAGTATTACCGTTATGTTGTATGGAAAGTGCGTGATTTTAACTTTAAATAGATTACAATGAGCCGATCTTTTCGTCAACATCCAAACCACGTTGAACAGCACCAGTTCTCGTCCGATCACTGAAGTTAAGCAACGTTGGGCACGGTCAGTACTTGGATGGGTGACCGCTTGGGAACACCGTGTGACGTTGGCACCCAATTTTTTTGCATTTTTCTCTGCAACGAGTTGTGAGAAGTCTGAACTATATGTCCCTCCTTTTTTCTTTCACGCGGAAAGAAAAACTCATTGTAAACCGGGTCGAAGACTTAAAACGTCAAACGTTGTCTTAAGAATACAAGACAGCATTATGCTCAGGCTCTTTCTCTTTCACATAATAGATTTACATTGAAGAAATTTATCTGTCAACAGGATTATTCGATAGAATCGATAGAAAAAAAGAGAAATTACTAAAATATCTCTTTGCTTTGCGTATTGAAATACAAGAACAGTTTATTATTTAAAGATACATGTGTGTGTGTGAATAACGAATAAATGTGACCAAGTCGGCATATATTCTTTGCAGATCAACCCTTGGTCTTTGTCTTCTTACTTTCGTTTTTAATGCCCAAGGAAGCGCAATTTTGGCAAGAGCAAGAACGCGGTACTACCAACTGCTTCTTCAATTTTCTGCCGTCTTCGCATATTAAATAGACAACGACGCCCATGTATTCCTTTACTTGACAGCACTGACAGTCGTTTACTTGACTCCAATTTTCTATGCGAAAAAAGTAAAAGAAAAGATCGAGATTAATAGCCGAGTCGACCATTACAGCGGAACATAATGGGAAATCTTCATCTGATTTTGCATTATTACCACTGTCAAAGAACGTTGAAGACTGACATGACCCGCCGCATTGTGTAACACCCGCGATAGCATCCACATTTTTACAATTTCCGTGTAACGGGTGGCTTACAATCAGCATGCCTACTGTACTGCTCGCATCCACGGGGACTGTCTTGCATGATTCTGAGAAATAGTTATCGATGAAGAACATATAGTTGATCCTTGTCAAGGATATCGATAAGAACAGCGACATTTCTCAAGTGCAGTAACAGTATAAATGAATAAAAAATGCTTGTTCTTATTTTTATATTTACCCTTGAGTTGATCTTTTATGTTAACGCTCACGTTACATCGGTTACAGCATCGATCGTGATAAATCAAATTATCAGGGCAATCTGCTACGTCTGGGCAAGCAGCTGGACTCACAGCGATAGATAGCTAAAATCATTGCACGTTTTACATATATTGGATGTCCAAGAGATTTTTTTGAACTTTTGAGGGTTCTTCAAGATTCTCAATACTCTTAAAACTTTTCAAGAACTCCCGCTGTCGAATAATGTTGAGGGCGATTATAAAAACTTATTGTAGTTACATATGATGTAAACTTCCGAAAAAGGTGTCAATTGCACAGGGTTGGAAAAGTTACTTTACCAAAGTAACTCGTTACCGTTATCGTTGCTTAAAAACTAACAAGTCGTTACTATTTTCGTTACTTTTTTCTTGACATTAGTACAATTAAATACTTCTTCTTCTTCTTCTAATTATGGCGCCCGGCACCTGATAAACGGTAGCCGATACGGCCACGACGAACCAATAGACTAAATATGAGTTGAACAATGCAATGGCCCGGTAACCGGGCCACGCGCGGGATGATGCAATCCCGCAGGATCAAAAATTTATCTTCCGTCGGAAGACGTGTGAACCGCTCGACGGCCCAGACGGGACTAACAATTAAATACACGTTTCTACAGTAAATATAATCAGAAGATGTAAGCAAAATTATGTCCTCTAGTAAAAGGGTAAGGTTCAAAATTCGATGTATACTAATTTATACGATCTAACTTTACATATTTTATAGCTATATCAGCTATACATCGAACACATAATTTGTACTATGATTGGTTTTTACACTTTTTAGTCAGCGAAGAACCACAGGCAAGACAAAGAACCAATTATATTCAAGATCATTGAACTGCTTAGTTTTGAATGCACTTATTCTGAATGCTATCCTGAAATATTATTCCGAGTGCAACGACGTTAGAAGTAACGTGTTACTTCCCAACCTTGCAATTGCATCTGATCCAGAAACGTTTACTCTTCTTGGGAGATAACTTGCCTGTTCGTTAGTTTCCATACACGTGTAAGTGGTGCAATTATCATCGGACGACCATGTCATGCCAGGCGCGTATAGAGTGTCCCCAAGCACGCAAAACGCTTGCTTGCATTCCCCGCAACATTTACCATCTTCTGGCTCCTGGTACGACCATCCCTTGAAGATTGATCGAGGCGATATTAAAACACAATAATCTTAAATGTAATAAAAACGCTTAAGTGTAAGTGCATGTAATGAGATGCTCTTACCTGAGCGCACTGTTTTGAACACACTTCGAACTCTTTGCGCTTCGTTATATTTGCGCCACCCACGCACGTCTCAATGACGCAGCTATCCGTAAGGGACTTCCACGTTTCCCCAGGTTTATACAATTTTCCGTCGTCGCGACAAGCTGTCTTAACAATTTCCGGGCAACATCTTCCTGGAATTTTGCGCGCTTCTATCTCGAATTCGGATTCCAATTCCGGATCGATTTCCGGGCACGTCTCGGTACTCGCTTGTAGATACACCTAAAAGTGAATATCAGTGCGACCAAAGTTAGTTCATAACTTTGTCGATTAACCGATATTTGGGATTATGTCAATAATCTTACACTTCCATTTGCGGATTCGCACAGATACGTTGTGCAACGATCGTCCGAGTACCAATGTTCTCCTATATTTTTAAGCGTGCCTTCTACAATGCATGCAACCTGGATACACGTGCCGCAGCAACTAACACTTATGTCATTAGGCTCTTGATACTTGTAGCCATAGTCGCAAGCGGTGTTGCACTCTTGGACCTTATTTAATACCTGAATACCACCCGAATTTTTGTCACATTGCATCGTGAGACAAGCGTCCGCAGTATTGGGCTTCCAACTTTCGCCAACCTGCGAGGAATGATATTAGTGGTATTATAAAAATTGTATTTTAATAATAATATTAAACGAAATACTACGCACGCGCGCAGATACAAAATATTAGTTCTTACATTGTATATTTTGCCCTTCCATCTGCAGGCAGTACGCTCGAAGATTGGACAGCATTTGTCATCCAGCAGTATTTCTTCCAATACATAATCGTCTATATCAGGATGTACGCTCATACTTGAGCATTCCGTGACTAAACAGTCAGCTTTAGGACCATCGTGCGAACTCTCGCACACGCACGTTGTGCATTTACCATCCTTCCATTCTTCGCCAATTTTCTTCGCTACCACTCGTTGTTCCTCGTTATTGATATAAAGACAAACGTCCTTCGGAGGTACTAATGCAAAGATGAAATAATAAAATCAACATTTCTATTTTGTAGAATTCAAATATCTTTTCGATAAAAGAATGCGTGGCATTAAAAGTATAATGTTAATTTCCGAAAAAGATTTGTACGTTAAATTGTGTTGAAAATGCTATGATACTTCCTCGGTTCTGCAACGCACGCATGCACATAATTTGACAGAGTGCATAAACAAAAAGGGAAACCGTACCACATTCGTAAGTGGGACAGCAACTATCTACGAGCATCGTCGAAACAGCGTTGTAGTAATCGGGACAGTTCGGTGCAGGCGGACAGGTTCTCGGATCGCATATTTTTGTTGGTCGCGGGCAGCAGCCGGATGTATTCATTACGTGTGTGAAACCAGGTTGCAGTTGCTCAATTTCGTTTGTAAAATTGTCGAAAGCGGGACATTCGCTTGCAGGCAGGCATTCTGAAATTACATGCGATATTAAGTGCAATGCTGCAACAAGGATTCGATAGAAACTGATGGGTAATGACAAAAAGTGCGCACACACGTTATACGTACGACATATAAATTTGTGGCAACCATCAGCGTCGATAATCGCCTTCATTGTCTGGCCAAAGCCACATTCCGGCTCCTGTGACTCAACACATATTGTAGGCGCTGTCGGCTTTGGAGCTACACAAAAATCGGTAGATTATAAATGGATGTAGATTAAATATATTCCCATTCGTTAAAATTACAATATTGGATAGTCGCAACCCTGTGTAAAATAATATATATAGAATATGATCAGACTACATTGGATTACATGCAATTTCAATGTAAATTAATAAGAGTCTTATTAATCTGATCACATTCTAATATTTTAAACAGGGAAGTGTAATCATATCTTGCAATGATTATCATTACTGGACGAAATAAATATCACAACTAAAACTTGCAGTTTTGATGAATAAACTGTATGCACATATTAAGAATGTACTTTTCGATTGCATGTTGACTCACCGCACAGATATTTGGCGCAACATCTCTCCTCCGTTCCATTGATAAGTACAGGCGTCATATTTTCCTCGCAGATCGTGTCCAATACAGGACACTCCATCGTTTGGCAGTTCACAACCCCGTCATTGCAGTTGCATTCGGTGCATTTGTCCGGATGCCAGATATCACCCTGCACGTGACCGTCCTTGTCGCAGACGAAACAATCTTTCTTTGGTATGCAAGAATCGTTGTAGAACACGTGATCCACCGGGCAAAAGCATCCTTCGACAGGAGCGGATGCGCACTTAAGATTGTTCGAATCGTTTATGGTATCACACGTTTCCTTGCAGCTGGATCCGCATGCTTGGTAGACAAGATCTGAGCGACATATATTCGTTTAAGTTAGGAGAACATAGAGGAAAGTCCCCTATTATGAAGTAGGTTTCTAATATGAGATAGCAGGTTTTCAACATCCAAATTCAATCACAATCTTTTTTCGCGGCGATTACACAATCTAACAATGAATTTTCCACTAAACAGATTTCGCTCCAAGGGCTATGAATTCATGATGGAACCAACAGACGATGCCTGTTAATTTAGCAGAAACTCCGCTGTCTCGTATTAGAAGCCGGTCTCATAAGAGGGGAATTTCCTCTACTTTTTTATATTAAGTCATGTTTTGAGAGATTATTAATTGAATTAAAATGATTATAACAAGTTTTAAAGATTTTTCTGAACGGCAAAAGTGCATTGAAGTTAATACACATATAATAACCATTTCAATCAGTAAGAATTATTTTATAAATCAATATGAAGTATATGTATGCAATAATAAAAACATTCTTTGTATAATTTGGTCTTCAATTTTGCTTGGCAAGTACAACTTCTAAACAAATTCAATAATCAAGATATCAGAATCTCACTCTTAGGACATTCGTAAGGGCAGATTTCATCGGTCCTCCAATCCGGGCATAGGCCAGCTTCCGAACACTTCCTCGCATACATCTCTAGGCTGTCGCAGTAGTTTCCGCCGGTGCATAACGCATCGTGACAACAATCTAAATATGGTTTTGGATCGACAATGCTGTAGCATTGCTTGAAAGCCGCTAAATCTAGGAGCTTCTTGCACAGATCCTCTTCCGCTGGCGGTGGCGTACACTGAGGTTGACGATTGCTGGAACACGTCTGATCGTATGGAATCTGATTCAGACTCAACTGCGTTGACGCGAGGACTGCGTCCTCGACTAGCCAGGATCTGCCAAACTCCTCGACGTCGTCGGTCATCTCCCCATCACGCTTCTCGAAACCACTTTCGGCATCGGCGTTGCAGCTACCGCACAAACCCTCGGTATCATCGCTGAAGATATGCGAAGGAAGTTTCAAGGTAAACGCGAAGGTCTGTTGAAAGGCAACGAGTTCCAATTGGATCGACGGTATGAGCAGAGTCACATCTCCGACGGACACTTGATCCAGGACAATCCATGTGCGGTTGTGCGGGAACTTCTCCACTTGGGAATCGTCAATCGCCACCCGCAGATCCTTCGAGTGTTCCGCACGCTTGATTTGCACCACGTGCTTCTCGTACAGCAGCGTAATCGCCTCTGTGCACGTGCCGGTAACGCAATATCCGTTGGTGAGCAGGATTTGATACGCGCGAGCCCTGTCCGGACTCCCCGCGTTCTCCACCACGTTCCCTGAAAGCAGGTAAGTGCAATTGCCGGCGAATCTGAAGTCCTTGCGATTGAAGCCGATGAATTTGGCATCGCCAAGGCCATCGCACACGCAGTCCCGACACTGCGCTGGCGGCACGCACTCGTTGTTTCGTCGCACCAGGCCGTCCGGGCAGAAGCAGCCGGGGAAGCAAACGCCCCGCATCGGCGGACACGGTTCCACCTCATGCAGATTGTCGCAGGTGATCTCACATTTGCTGCGGAAGCAATCCCGATGGACGAACGGCGGCGGACAGTTCGCGGGACAATCGTAAGCGGTTCTCCAATCCGACAACTGATCGGCGCCAGGACCGACGGCGGCTTCGCACTCGCCGACAAAGCTCGTCAACAGACGGCACCGGCAGTCTTCGTAAGAGCTGTTTGTAGCGTGTAGACAAGAGCACATGCTCTCTATGCAGCAAGACACGAACCTGCAATCATAGCAATTTGCTTTAAGAAAAAATATTTGTTTTAAGACAAAACTTTGAGACCTCAATTTGTTAACGAGTTTCACACTCGGGCGCTTTAATCGGTTAATTTAGCAAATTCCTGTCGTTAAATATCTATTAAGTGTTACCTGTCGACGTCGACGACTGCGGAACACGCGTCCAATAGCATCGGACTCCTCACGGAGTTGCAGATTGCCCAAGCCTGCTCCTGAACGTCACGCGGACACACGTGCAGATCGCATTCCGCGTCTTCCATCGCCCAGCTATCTCCAAACTGGACGGTGCTCCTCGCTTGCGTACCCTCGGGTGTCTGGCGGTCGTTCGTGGTGTCGCCGTCGAAGTATCCGCACAGGCCGTCCACGCGTTTGGCCAGTTTAGCGGCGACGCCGATCTTCACGTTGGTGCCCGAGTCCCAGATCACCCAAAAGCCGTAGCGATGCGAGATGAAGACGAGCTTGTCGCCCGTGCGCGAAAGCTCGAAACCGGGCAGTCGATTTCCGAGCCGCGCAATCTGCTCGGCCGTGAAGGTGTGGTCGTCAATGTCCGCGTGCAGATCCGGATAGAGCACGATCGCGCGCTCGTTCAGCATCACCGCCAGGACCCGCGTGCAGGACCGCGCGTCGACGCACAGCCTCTCCAGCGTTACGTACCACTCGTTGCCATACATGTCCCGGGCTAGAATGTGATTGCAGACGTCGTACTTGTACTCCATGTTGTCGAACGTGTTGAACGTTCTGCCCGTGACGTTGCAGATTGCCTCCTGCGGTGACAACGGCCGACAGGCGTACTTAGGACACTTGTGCATCTTGTACATACTCATCTTTTCGTACACCACCTCGTACTGCGGCGGACAAAACGCCTCTGGACACGTTTCCGGCTTCTGCTCTCCGGGGTAGACGGGGGCTTTAGTGGGCACGCAAATGAACTCGGGGCACTGGATGTTTTCTGTTGCTAGTTGAGCCTGATCCTCCATCGGACGCTCGTGGAATGGGCGTTTCTTGTGCCCCTTTGTCTTTGCGAAAGCTTTGTGACCTCTGGATTTTACATTAGTCTTAACATTGTGCCGCGGCTTATTTTGCAGCTGAGACGTCTTTTTGAAAACTACTCTGTAACCGGGTGGACAAATCGGTTCCTCGCACGGCAACGGACTAACTTGAGGACCGGGACCGACGGTCGTGATTTCTTGTCTGACTGTTCCTGAAGATTGTTCGGTCGCGATAGGTGTCGTGGCAGTTATCTCTGGACAGTTTATCTCGTCATCCGGACAGTCCTGAACACCGTTGCACCACGCGGCCTCGTTTATGCACACGTCGCTCGTGACGCAGCGCCTGGTGCCCGCTGGGCAAGGCTTGCAGAGACAGGCGCACAGTTCGCCGACAACAGACCGCAGGTCCGGCTCCGTGCAAGGCTCGCACTTCTTCGGCGAACACGCGGCTGTCCCGCCGAGGGAGCACACGCACTGCTGGCAATCTTCCGTCTCGTACATGCTTCCTACCTGTAATAAACATTCGTTATTGTACACAGAGCGAGTGTTCTCTTAAAATTTATCCTGAAAATCATGATCGTGGGGACAACATGGTATTTTGAACAAATTTATAAGAGTTTCTTGAAATTTTATCTTACATTTTACTAATAAAATGCAATTCACGATCACATGATTTTCAGGATAAATTTTAAAAGAAAATTCCGTATACTGGTCGCAACCTATCCGTGGAAAGTTTATCACAGAACTCTAGTAAATACGCTATCGTTATCATCAATGTTATTATTACCGCGTAAGGAACATGCCCGACCACGCAGGGACACTCTCGCTTCGGTACGCACGACTCCCCGTCCCACCAGAGAGGCTGCTCGCATCTGCAGCCTTCGACGCTCGACGCGTGATCGATCCCGTCGCACACATTGCATTCTCGATCGAACGTCGTCGTCGTCGATGTGGCTGTCGGTGTCATTGGTACCGGATACGTCAAGTAGCAGCCGAGAATTTCGACCTTTAACGCGACGTGATCGTGCCACTTGGCGGGTTGTATCCTCAGAAACTTGGTGTGCAACGGTCTCTCGAAGAAGTTCGTTCGACGACTCTCCGCGTCGAAATTCCCGAGGAACACCTTCTCGTCGCCGTTCTCGTCGACGACCGGACTCCAGTGACGCCCGTCGTTGCTGTAGAGTATTTTGTAAGCCGTCGTCCAAGCGCCGTCGCCGCCCTTGGTCGTGACTCCGGTCAGATTTCGATACTCCAGGAAGTCGAATTGAACGTACTGATGAGGATTGTCCAGAGCCGCGCGCCACGCACCGTCCGCGGATAACCGAAGGTGCCGGGCCAGCTGCGGCGAGCTTGATACAGAAACTTGTTGGACAGCCATCAGCCCGTTGTCCAATCCCATCGGGTCCTCGCACACCGGACTCACGAGAAGCTTCTCGGAGGTCGTCGGCTTCAGCGTGGTCATTGCGTGATCCCGACAGCCCAGCACCTCCATCTTGATCGCGATCCCGTTGTGCCAGGTCAGCGGATTGATACGAACGACCCTCGCCTCGACCGGTTGATAGAATATCTGCTTCACGGACTTGACGTTGTCGACGGGACCTCTGAACACGCGCGGCTGTTTTTCATGGTCCAGCACGTACGAGAAAGTCTGGCCGTCCTCCGAGAAGAGCACCTTGTAACTGGTTACGAACTTATCTTCGGAAACGCTGCCCTGCAGGATCACGCCGTAAATCGGCTCAGGTTTGTTGAACTGGATATCAAGCCACTGTTTCGCGTCCATCATCTCAGGTTCCCAGTACTTCTTGGGTAGCAGCATCGTTCCTTCCGTCTGTATCAACAGATCCTCGGACAGCAACAGCTGCCTGCTGCCGCTGGTACGGACAGTCACTTTCTTCCGCAGATTTTGTATCAGCGGTACGAAGCTGGCGTCATCGCATTCCCCAGGCGGAGTGACCGTGCTGTGTACAAGGATCGTTTGCTCGCTGATGGCCCGCCAGGTGACCGGTGATGTTCCCTGAGTTGTACTGAGCGGTGGCTGCGTGGTAACTGTTGTTTCCGGCCCCCTTCCCGTCCCTGCCGTCACCTCGTGACCCGACATGTCATCGCAGAAAGTTGTATCGCACGTGTAGTAATTATCGATGCATTGGCAGGTCTCGCAGTCGGACTCCCTCCTGATGGCACCGGGTGCGACCGAGCCTCCGTCGTGGGACCTGCACGAGCAGTGACTCGCCTCCACGCAGGTGACACCGTCTCTCCAGAACTTGTACGAGGGACACGTCGGTCGGTCGTTCGGGACGCATCCGGAGACGCAGTCGGCACCTTCGACGCAGTGACCCTGCGTCAGCAGGATGTGACGATAGTATTGGCACGCTCTGTCACACCGGATCGCGCATTCACTCCACGCCTCGCCGTCCTCGCACACGTTTATGGTGCTTGATACGAGCTTCTTCGTAGTCGACACCGTGTGCTGCCAGTGGCTGCCGGCGCTGCTGCTCCACTCGATTTTCCCGCTGGCTTCCGTGGTTCGCCCGGACGCAGCCGAGCATTCTGGCCGCACGCGCAGAACCTCCGTCGGCCAATCGCACACGTAGGTCTCCGAATTGTAAAGAGTACCAGGACCGCATGACTTTTCTACCAGTTCGTGCCCCGTCGGTGTGGAAACGCACTCATAAAACAGCTGACAGTTCGTCGGGTGTGGCGAATTGGGTTGCGCGACGTCGCACTCCAGATCGTGTTCCCTCCCGGTGCTGATCTCTGTCATCACATTTTCGACATCGTGCGTAATCGGTTCGAAGCAGCGGCACAGCACGCTAATCTCGAAGTCCACGCAAGGAAGATCTGGGTGCGATTGGCAGTACAAGCCACGTTCTAGGCTGCACTCCACATCAAGGCCGGTCTCCTTTGGGCTCAGGTGTCCCTTGACGGATCTGCATTTTATGTCAACTATGTGCTTCCTATCGCAAACTGCGAGACCGTTTGCGTTGGCGAGGTCCATCGAATCGGGCAACGGCTCTACGTCTGAGAACTTCTTCCCTTTCACCATTGGATCCTTGTTGATCCACGTGGTCCAGCCGTCGACGCATTTCTGGGGCTCTGCCAAGGGCACGGCGGTAGTAACAGCGGTGACGGCGATGGTGGTACAAGCTTCTCCCTTGCAGGTCACTCTGCCGCGACTGCAGAAGCAGCTGTGACAATCGTCGCCGCTGACTCTATCACCCTCGTAGTACGTCACTCCGTTGAGCTCGGCGCAAAAAGGTTTCGCGCACGCGGATCTGGCTACACACTCCGTGTAACTGGCGTTTAGGTAGACCTGGCCCTCGGGACAAGGCTGGAACTGGCAGCCCTCCACGCACGTGTCCTCCGCGCACAGATGTGAGCCGTCTTTCACGGTCATAGAATTGTCACACGTCTCGCGTGGACAGGTCGAGACGCAGGGCGAATACGTGCTGCACTTCTCGTCGCACTGTAACGGACAGAGCTCTTGCGTACGCCATTTCACGGGGACACCTCGCAGGTTGCATTCGTGCGCGTACGCGGCTAACGCCGTGCACAGGCACTCGCAGTCGCCACCGGCGTCGCAGCTGCACGTGTCGAAGATGCAATTGCGCAGATACGACTCGACCTCCACTTCCGAGTGACACGGCGAGAATAACGGTGACTTGAGCACATCGCATTGCCGCAGCGACCACAGCTTACGTTCTGGATGTTGCTCGCAGGCATCATCCTGCATGTCCTTCGGTTCCGGACAAAACGTATCCTTTTTCCACGAGTCCCCAAACAGATTGACGGAGGCCTCGGATATCCCGCCGGATGGTGTCTTAAAGTCGTCCTCGGCGTTGTTGTTATAGTCGCCGCACAGACCCATCGTGCGGCCCTTCCATTCCGGATTTAATCTTACGTAGACTCTGGTACCTGATCAAAAATTACCAAAAACTCTCTTGTAAAATTCGACTTTACATTTGAAAGATCTACACAGTTCTTACCTTTGTCCCATTGCAGCACCAATCCTAAATCCGGCACGTCGACAAATACAAAGAGACCAGCGAGCCTTATCGACATTCTCTTAAAAGACCCCTTAGGTAGCGCTTTCCCTTTTGTCAAAACGAGCTCTTCCTGTTGTTCGCCACTGCCAACCGTGAGCTTGATCGATTTCGAGCACGCGACTCCATTTGTACCGCAGGGTACGTTCTGAATCGAGATGTCGAAACAATCTTCCTTGTTCAGCACACTTTTCACTAGGACATAGTCGCATACACCTTGGAATTCGTACGTTTTCCCGTCGAATGTTTTGTAATGCGAATCGCCCCACACAGAACAGACTCCTACGAAAAGCATATCATTTCAGTATAATAATACAATGTGAGATCAAAGTAGTAAGTCAAATTCGCTTGAAGCGACAAAATGTATATTTGCTGACAAAACTTGAGGAAAGCATACAAAAAAGAGAACAATTAATAGCGAGTTGGCGTAAAAGGAAAATCACCTGCACAAATTCGGTCCGTGCACTTCCACTTGGTGTCCTCGCACGTGCAAGTATTACACTCGGCCTGTATGACCGAGCCTTGCTTATAGCTCTTTCCGCCGTGATGACAGGGACAGTCCTCTTCTTTGATGCACGCACCGTTCGGCGCGTTCAGGACATATCCGGATTTGCAGATGCAACCAGACGTGCAGACCGATGGCGTTTGGTCGCTCTGTATGTGCATGTTGCTGCAAGTTCTCTGCTTCACTGGCTCGCAGTCCGTCACTTCCAGATGCTTGCTGGCCTGGCAAACGGAAAGCAGTTCCGTGACCGGCGGATAATCCCGAATCTCGTCTGGCGTTGCCAACCGACACTCCCATACGCCGCCTAGGATCAGCGAAGAATAGAATTTTGCATCACGAAGCATCACTTATCAGCGAATACATTTGCGCCTCAGGCACCGACCTATGCAAGAACAAAACTCTTGTCCCTTGTTGCCCGGACGGACTTCTCGATGATTAGGCTTGTACTCGCGACCCGCGTGCATACAAGGACACTGAGCGATCGGGACGCACTCGCCGTTCACGTCTATCGTCTGGCCGTCTGGACAGTTGCAACCTTCCACGCACTCCTGTTTGCAATCCCGGTAAAAGGAGATGTCCGCGCATGATCTGTAGCAATATTAATTTATCTTAATCCTTTGCGGTTTGCGCTTTGCGGTTTAGAATAGCCTCCAGCTTACATTTTGTAATACAGATGTGTTCTGAGATATACATAATCGACATACAATATTAAAATTATCAAACTAATCCTAAAACTATGAATCGTTTCTATTGCACCAAGATGCCTAAAAACGATATAAAATTAGACACCGTAAACTCTTATGGGTTGAGTCGAAAATAAATAAGACCATACTACTGTAACTAACATTTTGTTTTCTCAAGTTTATGAACCACCAAGTTGTCTGTAGCGATAAATTGGAACTTGAGAAAAGCAACTGCTTGCGAAAACTGAATGCAATGAATGCGTGCTACCTCGTGCAACTGTTTCCACAGATTTGATAGGTCTGGCCGCCACTGCAGTGGATTTTACACTCGCCGATCTCGGCACGCCACGAAAGTTTCACGCCCAGCGCCGCGCAGTCTTTCGTATATGCTGCCAATATGGGGCAGAGGCATGACTTTACATCGGTGTCGCACGCGCACATGTCGTACATGCAGTCTCGGTAAAATTCCGTCGGATCGACGTACCAGTGGCAATCTAAAGTATTAAGAAAATAGTGAGATTCGAAACTATCTAGATATAAAAAGTTAAATGAAAAGTTTTATATAAGTACCTGAGAAAATGTCGCTGTGTATCTTGGAGCAGTGCTCCTCCGCGGTCGCTCGCCTCTGAGGATTTAGCTCGCAGGGATGTGTCGGTTCGCTCTCGGACTTGTCGACGCAATATTCACTTGTCTTCCATTTATTGGCGAAGGCGATTGCCGCGGGCTCAACATCACCGTCAGGCGTTACAAAATCGTCCTTTTGATTTTCGGTGAACGTCCCGCAAAGTCCTCTCGTTCGATCTGAATAATCGCAGTTCGATCAGAAATTTTCTTTCAAGATACAATAACATAGATAATTTCCATAACGACGGCCACACGAGACAAAAAGAGTTTACCATGGAATTCAGCGGGAGCGTTTATGTAAACGCGCGACACACCGTCCCACCACAATTCCAAAGCATTCGGCAGATGAATCACCATGAATATGCTGCTCGCAATTCGTATTCGGACACCGTCGAACAGCGTCGGGAATTTCGTTATCTCGTCACCATTTATCGCGACCTGATGGTTCTGCTTTAACTTTATCGACGTATCCCTGAAAGTGATTGCAACGGTCTTGACGCATGACGGAGAGTCTGCAGCGGCAAAGCCCATATTCTAAAATAAATAATAAGTAATTAGAAATGATTAGCGGAGAGAAAAGGGGGAATAAGTACGTAGTAATTAATAGAATTAATGAAAGATCGATATGTCAAGTTTCCTCAACAACTGAGAGATTTCTCTGACCTCGGATATCGCTCCGGAACACGGGACGTTTTCGCTCTCGATCGTATAATCTTCTCCCTTCATCAAGTAATACTTGCACTTTCCCATGAAGTCGTAGTGCTTGCCGTCGAACGTGGTGTAATGCGGATCGCCCAGGACGGCGCATCTGGCACCGCATCGTATTTGCGTGCACACCCACTTGCCGGAGGTGCACGTGCAAGTGTTGCAGCCCTTCGGCACGCTCGTGCCTGGTTGGAACAGTTTGCCTCTCAATTTGCACGGGCATTCCTCCGGAGAGACGCATTTGCCCTGGTGCTCCAAGGTGCCCGCCGGACAGAAACAGCCCTCCTCGCACTCGGGACTCTCGCTCGTCGCTTCGATACCGGAAGAACAGGACGCTTCAACCTTTGGACCGCACGACATATACACTCGTCCACCGTCGCAGACAATCGCTAGAAATAATTTATTTGTCTATTCATCTAGGTGTTAAATAAGAAAGTCGGCAAATGGTATTACACGAGTAAGAGAAATGAATGAGTTACGTTCATAACAGATTTATAAAATATTTTTCGATTGACTCACGACAAGTATCATCGTTTCTCCACGCGGTCAACTGCGCGACTCCCTTGTGGGCGCACTGGCGGATATAAACATCCATGGTATTGCAGGCGCATTTCCTTCTATCGTCGTGTTTGCACGCACAATAATCCCACAAGCATGCGTCGGTCAGCTCGGAAAGAATGATCGTCTCGGCGCAAGCCTTGAATTTGTGGTTGGAGAGCAACTTGTCGCAGAACTGGACGGCATCGCGAGCAAATTCGTCTCTCGACTTGCACGCGTGTCGCACGCTCGGATAGTCGTCGCATGGTTCTACAAAATGAAACACGTCGTAGCTGTTAGAACAATATTCTGTTAACGCGGATATTTTAACATAAAATAATTTTGCACTTACAAAGTGCAGGTTGAAAATGTGATTGCCATTACCTTCGAAACTTTCGACGCGCCAAGAACTTGCGAACGCCGGTACAGTTCCAGCGTGACTTCCGCTCTTCATTAAGAATTCGTCGTTCGGATCGTCATTCATGGTACCGCACAGACCAGCCGTTTTGTTCCACAAACTCTCGGAAGCCTCAATCTGCAGTAGCGAGGCGCCGTCCCACTTCAGCTTCACGCCCAGCGAGTCGAGGGAGACGAGGACGAAATGCGCGGACTTGTCCACGCGCAACCCAGGCAGGTACACCGGTATCGGCAGCGATCGTTTGTCGTTGGAGAACATCGGCAGACCTGCGTCGTCGCTGGCGAGCACGTACTTCTTGTCGTGCACGAACAGCTTCACGATCTTGGAGCAACGGCGATCCGACCCGGTTTGGCAGCCCGGACCATTCAACGCCACGATTGTGCAAACGCCGTCTTGCGTATCTCGGAGAAGCGTGTGCGAGCAATCGCTGTCGAAGCTGTAGACTCTGTCGTCGAAGGTCTTGTAGTGCGCGCCTCCCCAGGTGAAGCACGTCTTCGGTCTCGAGCGGCTCATCTCAAATACCATTACGCGACCGTCGCGAGTATAGTCGTCGAATTGAATCTGTAATGTTTCATGATGTTTCCAAATTAATTATGTCCCGTTCTCACCTTAATTTGGTAAACGTACTTTCTCTTTGCGCTCTTAATATCTATTACAAATGTAATATTGATGAATAATCATTTTCTCCGCAAATAATTAAGTAATAAGCAAATAATATTATTCGACTGTATTGGCTATAATTTAATTAGAACAATTTTATTGCAAAAAACATTACCTCAGCTGAGGTTTGAACCTGGACCTTCCTCACTCTAGGCGGGCGTCACTTTGTAATACTGAATAAATCGTGTACATACAGTACTACTTACTGGATACGACGCATTACTGCCGTGGATCCTGTAATTTTCGTCATAAGTCTCCTGAGAGTGCTTTAACTTGGCATCGTAAACATTTTCCATCGACCAGGAGTAATTTGATTCCCGTACGTAGGTATTGTGAAAGGTGCCGTGCGAGATAATCTTGATATTACTCTCGACCTTGCATTGCGGTATGGGCTGCGGCTCGAAGGTCCCCTTGTCGTAGGTGCAAGTGTAAACCGAGGAAGCTGGAGACTCGAAGTTTACTCCCGGTGGACAGTATAGTGTGCAGGAATACGCGTCGCCGGAATCTCTGCAGTGATACCCACCGTTGAAGTGTAGCTTCTCGGCATTGCAAACATCGGCAGCTGTCATTCATATTATGAATGTTGATTACATATGCAATGTGCACAAAATGGATTATATAAACATGTAATACGAAAGGAACTTCTTTAATAAAGACATCTCTTCGCTTACAATATTGGCACTGAGGTCCCCGATAATCCTGCGGACATTGGCATGCATTCATTGGCAGACAATTGCCACCGTTTTGACAGGGTGGATCGCACACAGCTGTAAAGACGCAATCATGTAAAATACGTTATGTGCGCTCGATTTTAACGGTTGTGCATACGTACGTTCGCAATCCGGAATTGAGACCCAGTCGCTTCTGGTAGGCATCCAATTGCCGTTCTTGCAGATCAGATTAGCGACCGACGAACCGTCAGGAAAAGTAAAATGATCCATACATGATATGGTGCACGTTCTGAAAGAAACGGAGAAAGAAAGAATTGAAAACTTTTACTTGTAGAAATGTAAGATATAATCTACAAGCATTACACTCACTTTGAATTACATCTTTTATAAGAATTGAGCACGGGCGGGGAATAATTCAGACACGGTCTATCTTCGAATTGGCACTGCGGGCCGGCGAAGTGTTTGGGACAGTCGCATTGATGAGGCGCAACGCATATCCCATTATTTTGACACTCGGGCATGCAGATCGCTATCGAAAGATTTAACGTGCAATTATAGATCCCGAAGATATCTTATCGTTTCGCTATCTTCTGCATCTATTACAGATTAAATCTAGATTTGCCACGTACGTTCGCAATGTGGTATCGAGTTCCACTCGGTTCCGGCAATGTGCCATTCCTTATCGACGCAAGTAATTGTCAGATGAAGCGCGCCGTTCGGAAATTTGTAATCCGACGCGCAACTTGCGGTACAACCGCTGTTTACAAAGAATTGTTACATATTTATTCAGTGCCTTATACGCACTTCTATTGATAGAATTAAATATCTCATAAATCTTATATCTTAAAGAATTTAACATCGCAAATATTTACTAAGAAAATTACAAGGAAATTAATATATCGTGTAATTTGAACGTAAATTAAAATTTCCTTTCAACTTTTCAACATATACCTGTCCGGAGAACATTTTATCTTGCCGTTTACAGGCGTGCTTGGTCTACGTATACAACCACCTGCGAACGCGCGTCTTCCTCCTTTGCTGCTCTTAACATTGTTGAAATTGTTGATTACTGAATCTGGCGCATCGTTCAGCGTGTCCTTCTCCCTAGTTCAAGAAAAAATTGTAACAAGGTTGTTTACAATTTGCACAACTTGATGCACACTAAGGTAGCGACTAATTTTAAGTAAAATTTACTAAGGGAGAATGGATGAAGGTGAACGGGAATAATGGAACTAAAATGGATTAAAATAAATTAAATTATTAGGAAGAGAGAAAATTAAAAGTTAGAAGATGAGGCCAACGCTGAAAAGGCGCTCGCAATCTAATGTTCTAGTATTACAAAGAAAAATTTCAATTTTTGCAGTAAAAAGATGTACAATATATACTAACTCATTTGCTTCTTGCGCGTCCATATCCTCCGAATATCCATATCCTTGTCTTATATTGCTCGCAATGATAATCAGCACGAATAACCCGAGTACCCGCAACGGCATCATGATGCCAGCGCGATGTAACTTCGTGTCCACGTGCCAGAAAAAGTTTTACTTGTCCTTTTGACGAAGCGTGTGAGGTAAGTAACACTTTTAAAAGTCGCGGATCAGAATACAGCCTTTTATATATCTACCTCTAAAAGGAAACGGATAAGTGATAAGCTCAAGTTGCACTTGATAAACGAGGAAGATGAAAAATGTGGGTCAGCCGGTCGTGGCTCACATGGTACATGCAAAATATTTGCGCATGTAAAATCAATTACATTGCGTGCACCTATAATAAATACACAGTATGAAGAAATGCATATTATAGGAAATATCGTAAAACAATTATTGTATTTATCAAAATTGTGGTAATCTTCAGTAAAGTAAAATTCTTTTCTTCCATAGATGCGTTTTCTTTGCATCTTTGAATCTCCGTGTTCTATACGCAGATTTTAAGCTTATTCAAAATTACAATAAAGTGAAAAGAAAATAAGTGAAAAAGTTATTCCCAAATAATATGCCGAGTATATAATTGCTTTTATATCGGTAATTAATCGCTTGAGAGTTGCGATAGGCACGCCTCTGCGAAAACGTTTTGGGAACGCGATTAACTTATCGCTTTCGGTCTAGACGTTAATGAGCCTCTAATTAGCTCGATAAAACGTGCTAAGCGTAACAAGGGAAATAGTCTTATCAACCATTCTTGATTAACAAATGACCCAGAGCGTATAAGTGGATTAATTGTACGGTATAATGGTGCAGCTTTTGACTTAATTCGTGTCGACGCCCACTATTGCCTCGCTTTGCCACTCGCGCAGTAAATTGAATTATGGGTTGTATCAATGTGACATTTATTAATATACTTAATTGTGCTAAATTATATAATATTTGTTTGGATAATCACATACACACAGAAACGGGGTATCACAAACGTTCGTCACCATCTTTTAACAACTATTTTAAACTAACATTCTAATAAATCTTATTCAGTTTTTTGTACTGTCCACAGCACTTTTAGTCCTACAATGAAACGCGGATCGATTTCCTGATTTGTAATTCGTCAGTAAACAATGTAGCGTGTCCGGGTTCATCCGATAATTTTTAGCAACTTTCAACTGACCCGGTTCGGAGTATTTCGAATGCCATATTTCGTAATAAGCCTCGCTGGATATATCACTTAAGTGCGTGATGTTGAATTCTTCTTGCAGCGCAATCTTCCATACCTGGAATATAAATGTACAATTAGTATCATAACGCTTCTTTGTTGTCTCATATTTAACGAATGACTTAAATTTATCTACATTATACATTCTGTCAAATAAATACATTGGTATCAACTTACAGCAAATAATTCTTTTACATACTTTTCACGCGGGCTTTTTAAATGAACGATTCCCGGTATTTATTTGACAGAATGTATGATTAACACAATGGTGTTTGACGGAAGTTTCAAGAAATAAATTAACAAGAATAAAGAATTACTGTCGCCAGTGAATAATTAACCAATGTAGGAAATTTAATGGACACAGCTGGCAAATTTTAATTAAAGAAATTTATTGCGAAAAATATTACCTCGGCCAGGGTTTGAACCTGGACCTCCCTACTAGTACGTAATATTTTTCGCAATAAATTCCTTTAAGTAACATTTGCCAGTTGTGTCGATTAAATTTCCTACATTGGTTAAATAAATTAATATGTAGCGTAAAAACACTCACATCCTCTTCGCGTACTGGAACTCTAGCAGGAATTTTACCAAATCGGCTCTCACCGTTCAACACGCGCAACTGATACAACAAGTAATTTAGCATGTGCATTTTGTCGGGCTCACTGGCGCTGAAGGTCACAGATATCGGCGAGCAGCAGTCTCCTTTGATCGGGTACACAGCACGCGTGAAATAGCTACCCGGTCTCGCGACACCCCACAGTAGGTTTTGCAGGGAATAACCGTGGAAAGTACCCCTTAAGTACTGATCTCTGGTATCGGAGGGACGTATGCCCATGGACGACAAGTGTTTTCCTGTAAAACGAGACAGAAGGTCGACATCACGGACACGCAATTATCATCAAACTTATGCGACATGAGCCGGTGTTCATAGTCAGATCTTATATTCAAGACTGCCTTCCCTGGTGAAAAACTTTTTCTCAGAATTTTCATAATTTTTTATAATTTTTATGTAAATTTCAGAATTTTTAAGATTTTTTTCAATAATTTTACAACATTTTTCAGATTTTGTATACAAATTGGGAGACTTTTCAGAAGTACCGAGAAAGTTTATATCTTTACTAGAATTTTTCATATGTATGAACTCTGAAATATATTCTGAAGTTTCTCACTCTATAATTTCAAACATTTATATCTCAGAATATTCACATATACGAAAAATTCTAAGAAAAGAAGTGAACTTTCTCCGTATCTCTGAAAAGTGTACACCAATTTGTATGAAAATGCAGAGACAAATTTTCACCAGGGTCGAATTTATCCGAAGAGGTTTTATGGAACACTTGATAGACTACAGAGTATCCAAAGATGATCTTAGATGGTCTTGAATATAAGCTCCGAACTCTATGCTCCGAAAAACTATGAATACCATTGTGTCGTTTACCGAGATAATAATCTTCTTTCTTCCAATACTTTCCGCCGCTAATACATTTCTCCGAGCTATTGAACGTCTGCACTACTTTATCCAGCGCTCCTCTGCTAAGAACGTATCCGGATTGAGCGACATTGTAAATCTGACTCCACAGAACCACCGGGTGGCCCAAATAGTAGTCGCCCCTAGGATCCAACGGAGCGACCATGTAGCGCAGATTCTCCGGTATGACGATAGTATCGTCTTTCACAAATATAATCCACTCTAACTCGTCCGCTCCGTCGTTCCAAATGTAATTCATAGCTTCGCACAAGAGCTGCCAGGAGGATACAAGTTTTACGTCCGTGTTAATAACAGGCAACTCCGCGTCCCTCAAGCGATGCCCGAAGAAATATATCCTGTTGCAACGCTGGCCCCACGTCGCCTTGATTGACCTTCCCAGCCTGAGCTTCTCCACGAAAACCACGCACGTAACGGATACTCGTTTTCTCAACCAGTTCCATTCTATGCTTCCGGTCTCCCTCGCGTCGACTTCCTCTCGCGGACCGTACAAGTACTCGTCCAGGTCAATCTCGTGCCTCTTCAAGTTTTGCGCCACCAACCAAGCGTAATACGTGACGCTATTCAAGTCGGACGTCTCGTTTCCCTGTTTCCACAGCTGCAGGACGATCTCCTCGTGACGGGGCCTGTTATCGAAGTGGTATTCAGGCCGCCACAACGCCGCGTGCCGATCGACCACGAATATATTCCTCAGCAAAACGAACAGCAGCGGAAGAACGAAGCCGACCCCGCAGCCGGCCAGGAATACCGATCTCTGTTTCAAGACTCGGAGCCTCATTGTGTCACCGGGGCCCAAATGACTCGACGAGCTCCCGCTCCAGCACCGTCGGGACTGGCGCCAGGTGGTCTAACATTGAACGGAATCTATGCCACACTCGTGCCTGCGGTCATTACGTTTGACCTTCGTTGAACTCAATTATCTCATTAAGATATCTCCTCTCGCAGAGATATTGCGTGCGCATCTTAAAACTCTTTGGAGTCTCACTTTTTTATTCTCCTTACCGTTTGCGACTTATCTCGACGGGGCTGCAAGCATACAATTACACAATTAACTCCGTCCGATCCGTCGTCGCCGATTCCAGCGAATTGTTGACAATACGAGCGTTGATACGTTACCTGATACGGCACGCTGTCTCAGCGGGATGAAATCATCGTCGAATCATCGATAATATTACACTGTAGACTGACGTTCTCACGCTTCGGAACCCGCGCGGCAATCTTATCACAAGCCTTTCTATTATCGCTAGCGGCAACAGTAAGTCAACGAGTCCGTGATACCCGTGGCTGCGTTGAGCGCAGTCGAAAGGTGAACACATGCCGTGCACAGCGCGGCATATGGTGACCTACGATAATCATGGTGCTCGCGGCCACGTTGAATCAACAGGTGACATAAACAAGACATCTGTCAGGCCGACGTCCTAACCTCACCCGGACGCGATCCAGCCTGACCTGACGCGGATCAGCTGAGATTTTGAATTCGTCAAAATGCGCGAGCCATCGAATTATCGCACGGTAAAACAATTTCCTTTCTGTTGTCCATTGATACGACACGTGGGCGAAACGTGACAATAAGAATATAATGCATTATAAAAGTGGGAACATTAAAACGGGAGCATCTTTACGAATATATAATTAGCGAAAGTTCTGATTGCTCGAGGCGCTTGTCCCATCCCAGTGAGGACACTGGGGCGGGAATGGAGTCGAAATCGCGTCCCAACTGTCAGTTTGCGAAAACTTACAAGTTTTGGAACTTTACTTCTTGTATTAAACTTGGCAGGTCTCTCCCACAAAGTGTTAAAAGTATTAACGTACCCTAGCGGAAAAATTTCTATAAATAACTACAAAAAATTTACTTGAAATAGAAATTTGTAGAAATTTTTATATCTTCGTTGAAACATTTCTTTTTTTGTAAAAATATCTACAAAATAGTACCACAAATTACAATGTTCTCAAATCAAGAAATTATTGTAATATTTCATGAAAATGTACATTTTGTAAAAATTAGTACAAAACTTTACCGGTTTTAAAAATTTGTGAAACAACAAAATCTTGAAGAATTAAAACATCCGCTTACTTGTAGAATATTACAAAAATTAACAAAAGTGTTCCAATTCTAGCATTTTCATGTTGATTTTCATAACACTTTAAATTTACGTAGAATTTCGTAGATTCTGTTATATTTAACTTTCTTGTAGAATTTTGTAGAATTATTTCCGGCAGGGTAAGTACGTAGTAATTTAATACAAAAGATGAAGCTCCAAAGCTTCATTATTTTCGAGAACCGACGGTTGGAACGCGGTTTCGACCCCAGTGTTCTCGCTGGGATTTTTACCTGAATTAGAGAGATGCCGAAGTATATTCAAGATTTCTCATTTATTATCAACTCAAAAAATATGTAGACGTGTAGCATTGTACAAGTACATTGCGTGGTTCTACGATAAGAAATCACGACAAGTGTCGTTTATTTGTAAATCCTTCCATATAGTAGTTCAAGTATCAAGAGTAGTGCGAGTTTTTTTAATGTTAAAGTATTTTAAAAGTTTATTATAAATTGAGAAATCAAACTTTCGTACTTCTTTGTACGAAATAATTAAGCACAGTGTAAATGTATAACAGGAAATATGTATACATATCTTAGAATTAACATATGTATTATATATATATATTACGCTTATATAAATATATAATTTATATAATACTGCAGGAAATATGCAGCAATTAATTGATAAGTCATTTGTTTAATCGACTTTTGTTCAATAGACTGTTGGATTTTTATGAAAATAATTAAGCAATTCTAAAAATACTGCAGCAGATTTAATTTCAATATGCATGTAATTTAATGTTACTGCATATACATTAATAATATTTGCTATTATTAATATATATACGTGTATATATTTATCATAGATGAGAATTGCGTTTTCAATATTAATTTCGCTACGGTAATACTGTACAGGGAGTTGAAAAATAATACAGAAAAGATTCTAGAAGCGAGGAGAAATTTTGAGAGGAAATACCTTGCGACATTTGCATTTTCTATGAGACCGGAGAAGTTAAAAACTGACTTTGCCGCGTACTTTAAAGAATCCCAAACCGTTCCTGTTGTGCACTAAGGCACCGAGACCGCAATAATTCTCTACGACGATCGGCATGGTAACGACGCTGCATTCACGAGGTAATAAACTTTTGAGCGTAGTGCTGAAGGCTTCTATGTCAAATCTCGTCTTGACAATCTCGGTTCCATCTAAAAGGACAACCCTCGGTTAGTCTTATTAGCGGGGAAAATCTCTGCGCACGGCCGATACGCCGCGGTTTCCCCGCTATGGTCGAACTTAACATCTACCTTTGTACCAGAACAACGGATGACTAGCATACGTGAGCCACGGTATATCTCTCGCAAACGGATTCCACTTTTTCACGAGAGACAAGGGCTGTCCTCTGTTCCACATGAGTCTTATCCCCGACATGTGCCGCTTCCTGAAAAATTTTCAAATCTCGTTTCCGCACACTCCAGTACATTGCAACGCGAAGCGTTCCAATCTTGCATTGTGCTTACGATGTCTTGGCTCTCGCAACACATCGCACTGTACAACACTGATAAAGCTGTTTTACGAAAATACGCAGTTACGTAAACACACAGAAAGCGTATTATACAAAACGAGTGTGCGGTAAAACAGATACATGGTGCGATATAATAAAGATGCGATAAAGATAAAAATACATAGGCGAGTTGACGAAACGAAAACGGGGGAATTAGTGCTGATAGACAACAAAGCTGTATACCTAGGCTCGAATTGAGTAAGATTAGAGCAACCTGCGAGAGAGGACCATTCCTGACGCACCGCACAATGAATTATAGACGACACGCCTTCCGCTAATCCGCTTAATCGTCTAGAATACATTAGATCGGCATGAATGATATACGTCGGGCGGGAACATAGAAGCATGTCATTTCTATTTTATACCAAACATAGATTTTTGCTGCACGTCTCATTGTGAAGCTCAACACCTTCTCGATGGTAAAGGGACAGAGGAGAGTCCCCCCCCCATTATCAGCTCCCAATAGCGAGACAGCGAGTTTTCCCACAACCGATTTCGCCGAGTCTCTTCTCGCGACAACTGAATTTCCCACTAAACAAACTTCATTCCAAGGGCAGCAGGTTTACGGTGGAATCAACAGACGCCTGATAACTTAGCAGAAACCCCGCCATCTCATTTTTGGGAGCCTGCCTCATAACAGAGGACTCCTCTATCGCTGAGAGTAGAGCCCCTCTAATCAGAGTCTGGCCAGTTTCTGCAAATGACGCGAGAAAGGAATGTATTTCCTCTCACTTCGCACACAGCATACAGCGTCCTGTAGAGCGTGAGGGAATTTAGTTCTTTCTCTCTCGCGTCGTTTTGCCAGAACTGCCTATTGGCCGGACTCCGATCAGAGGGACCCAGAATCAAGGGTATCGTCGAAGCCGTCGGATCGCACTTGTGTTTACCGCATAAACTGCCGGCGCGGGAATCACAACGGTACTCACGGTGCGAGAGACGTGGTCGGATAAATCAGATCCCCCGTGACCACTGTATCAAACAGCAGTATGGGCACTCGATTGAAGTCGAGTATCTTTAGAGAAATAAAGTCGTACTTTATAGAGTAGAGGGCTTTCGTCGCCAACAACACGAGCCTCTCCTTCTCCGTGTCCCACAGGCTTATTCTGCAAAGAGAGAAAAAAAGAAGAATGCTTTTCTGTCAACGCAGATGTGATAATAGAGACTCGTCGGGCGGACAGTGCTCACTCTGTCAGCAGCCAGCTGCCCACAAGCTCGTCATTGTTCTGATTTATCAGTTTCTCGGTGCAGTCGCTTATCGCCCTTTCCACGACCTCGTTCCTGTCGGTGAAAAACGTGTGTATGTCTATGTGCTTGAACGGCACGTTGCACACGTCCCTGGAGGCCGAGCTCCGCTTCGGCGCGTCGTCCGCGCTCTCCAGCGACGGTCTGACGGCTGAAATCAAACAAGAGTGAGCTCGCGGCCGCGCGTACTCCCGCGGAATCGGGAATTAATGAAAACTGTCAGCGGCAGAGACCGACGGCGGGGACTCACGGTCGGTACTGGCGATTTCCAGGGTGGCCCTTTCGAAATTTCCCGCAGGTCCCTCCTCCAGACATGTCTCTTCCATGTCTCCGGGCTGCTCGAGACGACGGGAGGGTCCTCGTTTACATGTGCCGGTGGCGAGGGATCGCCAGCGGCATAAGCGCAACGATAACGCAGGCGAGCCGTGGCACCACGACTTTTCAAAGTGCCACACAAACGCACTCGCGATCGAATCCGCGGATGACATTTGAGCGGGGCGACCTCGCGCGGCGGGGGACCGAAGCTTCGAAATCGGAGCAACATTGATAAATTTCTCTCCCCGATTATTTCCGTGCCAGGCGGCGTGCGTTTAAATTTTTAGCAGCGTCGGGTTCACGATGAAACATATCCAATTTACGCGGCTCAAACGCGGCCGGAAGCCAACGTTTTCTGCGGACTTCCGCCATCCTCTTTTTTTCTTTACAATTCCCCCAGCGAGAGAAATGATTCGTCGACCGATGTCGAATCGATGTCAATCGAACGATTTCGATATCGATTCGATACCAATTCTCGCTGGGTCGAGTTCAAAAATGCGCTCGGAGTTTGCCCGTCGCGATTTCACATTGTTTTGAATAACGCTGGGAATATTTCACTGAAAATATGCTAAAATGTAGGTGAAAATCTCTCTCTCTCTCTCGACCTTGTATCGCTAAACATTTCGTCGATATTTCAGTATAAAAATTGAGCGAAAAATCATTTCCAAAATTTTCCATCAAGAAGTCAACAGCTTTCAATTAAATTCAATGAATTTCATATTATTTGATATTTCACAGTTTCTTTATTGCTTTTTCAACAGTATACTTTCACTCCCCTCATATTTCGCAGAATTACATTGAATCTCATAATAAAAATTGAATTTATTTTGAGATACATTCAGTAATTTTTCAGTAACTTTCACCTCGCTCTTCACCGATATACTTTCCGTAATACTTTCAGCAAAATATTTCCATCAGAGAAGTTACAATACCTTAGAATATAAAGCACCTTTTGTACCCCAACTCACTGTCATACTTGTAACATTTATTAATCTGCTTAACAAGTATCAACGTGATATATATATATATATATATATTTTACAAACGTATATTATTCTCGCATCTCGTACGCCAGCTTTACAAAAGTACTTAAACATAGCTGAATTAATCTATTTGTACAGTTTACGCGCGCTCTTTTGTTACACACGGGTGTTCTTACATACGCAAGGGTTGTTGTTTCTGTACAAAGTAGCACGTCGAGACGATGCAAAACGAAAACGTGCTATCAGCTACCGCAGAAAGGACCTGTGCTACCGAAAAACGTATACGTGTATACATAAAAAAAGAAAACAAGAACGAATACGTGCTACGCGATAATTGTACCCGCTAAACGTACACTAAAAGCTTTGGTTGGAGTGTTTCTCTATCTAAGTTAAGTAGGTAAATCCGTGGATAAAGTAATTCGTTAACTTTAATACATGTATATACACAGACACGGCGCGTCCCAAAATCACCGCGTTCCAGTTGTGGACGCCAAGTCGACGCGCCGACTTTGAGTTACAAGCAATTAAAACTCGAAGCGTGACGAAATAACTTTATTACAGAGATAAAAAATTTCCCGCTTGACCGAAGGCTGACGGTCTCATCGAGAGCGGTGATGCTGGGACATCCTGCGCGCGCGCGTTTAACTGGCATATGTACACGTGTATGTATGTACAACGTTAGAAAATCTCTCGATTTGTTCACTCCTATGACTAACTTTACACCTCATCGATCCGTATCAAAAGTTTCTGTGCCATTCGTGCGAGAAATTGGAATTTGATTATGCTCGAATTACGCCCGATCCAAGCCGCCTGTCGTTTATCGGCGAGCAATTACTTTTATACGATAATTCTCGTATCAGTCTTCTCATAAACTTAACGTTAAGCGTTGTAACTAAGGCATTGCCGATTCTCGTGTGCTTTACATGATAAAGTTAAAAATTTGACTAGAGAGAGAGAGCACGTCCGGGGAAACGCGTCAGAAATAAGATTCGAATTCTTGTCGCGCAGTCGATTTACTTGTAGTGCTGTACGTCGTCCAACATGTTATCCGACGATGACAACGTTAAGCTTCGCTCCTCGTGCATTCCCTTGGCATAGTTGATTTGCTGCGACACCTACGACCGTGAAGAAAACGAGTTAAGGCGTGGTAATGAGTTGCGACGCTCGTGGAATAAGAAAGAGAGAAACGCCATTTGATATTTCGTGCACTTACCCGCTTCGCCACCTCTTCGTTGTCACAGCGCACCTTCGGCCGTCTCAACAATTCGGCCAAACCGTCCAGATTGACCGCGGCCGACGAGTCGAATCTGGATATCAGCTCTATGTAATGGAGGATGACGCCGTTGCTCTGGACCTTCTGCATCGGTTGGCAACGCAGAAGATCCGCCAAACTGGCTTGAGTCACCACCGCCTTCGTGCCGCCAGAGATGACGCGTACTCTCTCGTTGGACACCAGCACTCGAAGGTTCTCCGTGCCGCTGCACAGACACTCGTAGGCGACGAAGAGCTCGGAGTAGTCGCGATTGTTAATGCTGTGCAGAAACTCCTGGCCCTCGGCCTGCTGACGATTGTACGGTGGCAGCAATCCGGTAGAACCGCTGACGACGCGCGGCGGTCGGTCGCGCTTCGGTATTGCACGATGAGCGCTGTACACGAGATTAATCGAAGAATCAATCGTCCAGAAATACTTGTAGCGTAATCATTAGGGAAATTGTGATATGTTAATGTAATCACATTAACAATAATAGATACAGGGGCAATAGGAGTCATTACAATGCTTAGTACCAATAAGGATGCAGAGTTTTAGATCAGATGATTTAAGGCTAAATCCTGATTGACTAACGTAAGCAATTGAGTAGGAAAAATAGTATCGTGTGTCGTTGGCTTAAGCGTTGTAGACACAACCTTTTTATTGTTTATTTTAAATATATGACTTCACCAAACATCCAGTAACTGGCTCCCATTGTCCCTATAATATATCGCTATATCTATGTTAAGTTTAATATAGGGGCCTAGCACAACTTAATTTTATAATCATATTACCTTCTACTTGTCTCTCGAACAGCACTAGCTGTCTCTGTTGCCAGATCTAGAACGCCGACGACGGGTTTCGTTATCGTGCCTACCACTCCTCTTCCAAAGCCCGCGAAGAAACCCTGGAATTTTATATCGTCCATTATCTCCAAGTTCTACAGGTGACATTTATATGGGAAGGGCCAAGTTCGTTTTTAAATATTTACCGGAAAACCCTCGCTGGTCGCTCCGTCGTAGGTCTGTTTGAATATACTGGTGACGCCGCCCAGTAGACCGAAACCGAAGCCCTTTAAGCCGGCCATCAGGTGATCGCTGCTGCCCGTAGTGTTAGCCCGGATCCTCTGCCTGGCCTCTTCGTGGCTCTCGTCCATGATCACTCTCCCTAAACCGTCCGACAGAGATTCCGTCACTTTCGCCGCCGAGTTCGAGATACCATGCGTGACGTTCTTCACTAGACTTTTCACGCTGCCTTCGTAGATGAGACCAGAAACACCTTCCGTGACGTCATTCATGAATCCAAGAGGGTTTCCCAAGAAATCTACAGAACCTAGAATGACCGCAGCTTGCCACTTCAATTCCTGAAACATCATTTGTTTATTAAGTCAATGAACGAGCGAAAAAAAGACTGTATAGCAAAATCTATATTTGTCGTACATCTTTGTAGTGCTTTATGATAGAGTGTATTAAAAATTGACTGCTCTCGAAAGGATGTTTCTTAACAAACGGTTCCAGCTCGATAGTGGCGTTCTCGAAGTTGATTAGAGTCAACCCCAATTTCCTCTTTACAGCCTGCAGATGATGTGGCAATTTCGTCGTGGTGAGCACGCTGAGTTTCACCTGAAGGAAGAAATGGACCATGCGAATAAATATTAATATTATTAATAAATCAATGAATGAACTTTCTGCCACGTCGACATTTACCTGATTAGGAACGAGTTTCAGGGCGCCAAAGTAATATCTTTTGGCATGCGCGGCGGACACCTCGGAGATAAATCTCTGCGCCTTGAAGTCATTCTCGTCGACGGGCACTTCCAGCTCCGACTTGCCGATTCCGAGGAATGCCGCCAGTTTCAGGATAAATTTCTCTTCCAAGTGCATGCACAGTGGTTTGACGCTGACTATGACGTGTTTATATATCTCGGCATTCTGATTCTTCGACTGTAACTTCTCCACTGCTAAATGAAGGGCGGGCCGGTACTCGTCCTCCGTACGGGACGACCGTGTCACGAACAAAACCGAGGTGCACTGCGCCTCAAACAGTTGATTGTCGATTTGAACGTCGGCGACGCTCAGATCCAACGTGGTGTTCAACGGGGTCTGCACTAGATCTAAGGAGATTGCGGCCAGCCGCGCGAACAACAGCTCTTCCAGCGGTCTCTGCGACACGATGGACAATCCGAGACCGGCCTGCAAGTTCAGCTCGAGATTTAATTCGCTGGAATCCATTTTTTTAATGTCAGTGTCGATCTGGGTGGGCCGATGAGTCACGGCGATGTTCGACCAGTCGCGCTCCTCGAGTAGGGCGAACGTTTTCTTCTGAAGTGCAAAAAGATAAAAGTGGATAATTAACTGTGGCATTAGTGTCGTCAATAATTCGCTCGCGACATAATCATGTTTGGAATAACAGTTTGTCCAAGGTAAATGACAGAATGAATGAATAATAGCGAACTGTTAAAACTGACACACACCCTTTCCTTGATGTCCAAAACTTGCAGAACGCGGGTCGGGCCGTCGGTGGTCACTCTGACCGACAAGAATCCAGAACCAGGCCGCAGCTTTTGTCTACCCACACGTTGCTCGATCGGCGGTGGATTGCTGTGCGTCTGCGGGCCCAGCACGGCTTCGCTCCCTACAAGAACAGCGGCAGTTCCTCTTATTAATTTTGTGGAAATACGCGCGATGCGGTTGCACGAATTAAAAAGATTTGCGAATGCAGAAGCACTGTACGCCAGAGTACGATAACGCCGTGATTGACTTGATCGCGAGTTCATAATCTCACGAGTGTTATAACTTGATCTCTGCGTCTTTTATTAGAGAAGAAAAAGTCTCTTTTCTCTTTCCCGTAAAGACTTCGTACAGGAAAAAAAATTTTTTCTTTTCTCTTATATCGCGCTTTGACGTTCCTGGGAAGGTATGCAATGCTTACGAGGTAAAAAAAGAAAAAAAAGGATAAAACAAGCGAAGAGAGGCGGTGTTATAGCACGTAAATACTTATGGGCAAGCTCATAGGGAACAGCCGAATTTAATGTGTACTCTGAAACTATACGTACACATTTGCCAACGGGCGACACTGCCGCCTGCAACATTCATTCATGATCAATTTAGGTCTCTCCAGTCGAAAGTAGCGAGAAAGAAATAGTGACCAAAAAAAAATAGAGGACTCTTAACAACGATGGAAATTAGATAATCGGCAGACAAATTGTAGAGTACAAAATAATATCGCAAGACAAGTGGCAGGCACCTGTCGTCATCAACGCGCTTTGAACGTTCGAGTCATTTTGCCAATTTCAACGATACCGTACCGCTCAACTTACTACCTTTTATGCCTGGCACATTTACAGGTAGAAGCATTAGATTTATATCACACACGCATTTAATAAAAATGACAATTAGCTCGCAAACAAAGGGTGTGTTGGACCAATTGAAAGCAACGCAAAATAAGAGAAAGTATGTTTAACGATGAAGCGCGTGACAAAAGGAAATTCGCAATTCTCGCGAACGATCCTTATCGACTTGATCATTAAGCGGATGAGCAAAAATTGCGTGCAAATGAAAGCAGCGTCCCAACCTTCGTATAGTCCCATAAAGCCGTCTTTCGACTGAACACACATATTTTTGTGTGCGCAACATAGACGCCCGTCGTCGGTAAATCGCCAGGTCTGCGTCGATCGTCGCCTGGGGTCCGGTTTCCTCAGGGCGAGAGCGCAATAGGTGAACGGTTGCGGTGCGGTGCCTGCTATGTCCAAAACGAATATCGTGTCCGGAACTTTAGAATGTTTGTCTCTCGGCGGACTGGAGCCTGTCTCATTAAAATTATACACGTGAGAAGGATGGTACGTCATCATAATTGTTTCGTGGTACAAATTGTGTTGGAAATAACATTTTGCCTTGATCTTCTCGCGTTACCTTCGTGCTGCAGCTGTCCATCGCCGGTCATTCTCCAAAGCTGCGCTCTGTCACCGTACTGTTTCCTTCGAAGGGCAACCCAACCCCCAGAACCAGCTTCTAAGACCAGTCTCTGAGTTTCTACGTCCAGCGGATCTAAATTGCTCTCGCCTGCCCCGAGATCGGAATCAGTCTTGAAGGTGCCTGAAATAAAAGTGCACGATCAGTATTTGCGCATATTTTATTCTTTATTTTAGCCACTGAAACTACAGTACCTGTGAACGCGATGTAAATGAAGTTTTCATAAGTCAGCCCTCTGCCCTCTCCCAGTATGTTTAAATCGTAAGAAGCTGTCACGCCTCCGGGTGCTGTCAGCACTAAACCAGCAGTTTTTATTGGTTCGTCCAGGGCGTACGGTACCGACGAGTGGGGTCTCACGGTCCACTGCAGATTATCGGGAACTCCGATCTACAAGTACGTATTTGCAAATTAAAAAATTAGATAAAATTTCTGAAGATATTAATATTATAATTTAAATGCAGTACTCAAATGAGACATAAATATACCTGGTTGACGAGTAAAGGAACTTCCGAGAAATTATCTACTCTTATAGGCGGCGGCATAGTATCGGCATCAGTGAATACGATGAAGAATGTAGTCTCCTGTAGCACTACGTCTACTCGTAGGAAATGCATCTTCCCTGTTACGTCCCTGACGTTAATGGTCAGTGAATAATTGTCATCCAGTCTCATACCGCCCGACCACATACAATCCGGAACGTTAACGATCCTGACGCAAAGCAACAAGTCTTTATCCAATCGTGGCCAGTGGAAGGGCATGTGACAGTCGGGCATGGTCGTTATATGTGTCGCCTGGGCATCCGGATGAGACTGAAACAGACATTGTTACTGAGTAACAAAAATTGTTATTCTTCGATATCGTCGCGACCGTAACAAACTTACGACAGTCGTCGTGAAACATTTCTGAGCCAGCTCCAACGTGTAAGACGACTTATTGTGCAACTGATACCTCGGTGATAGTGTAACCACTGTAGTGGCTCTGTACCTTCCTCTTGCTGCGCGAGTGGCTACGCTAATCAAGTAGACTATATCGGGTCTGCCATCGCGTAGACTGATTCTCAAGCGATGAACCTGCAGAACGTAAAGTAAATGTATGATCGTCATCAGAATAATTGAAACACTTTGTTCCATGAATTTGTTCATGTATCAAAGTAAGAGATTGAATTATCCAAGAGTTGAACATTTAAAAGTACAGAAACATATAATATATGGATTGCGTACGAAAAGGATAAAATTGTTACAATAAAAATTGGAGCAAAGATCTTGCGTGACAATATACTTACGTGAATTCCAGGCTGCAAATGAAAATGCTGCGACCACTGTGGTACCCCATGAGGATGAACTTCCGTTCCGATCCTCACCGACAAAGTTCTACTGGCCTCCTCGTCGCTGAACGAGAATAGCAACGGAGCTACCATCCTCGCTCTTTCGTGTTCTTCGAATTGTCCTGCCGCCTCGAGGCCGACTCCCTCTTGTCTGAAGACCAACGGCAATCCGGTCTTGTTGATGATCCAATAAGGCGCAGTGATGTTGATTTGCATGGCGGCACCTTTCTCCACAGCCACAGTTGCTTGGAGGTAAAGCATCCGGCTGGCGGAATCCAACAATTTGAGGCGAGCGGTAAAAGAAGAAATGTTCGGTGGCAGCATTATCTGAAATGCATTATTATTTGTCACATTTCACTATTAACAAATCATTACTGAAACGTGATAAAAGTGAAGTCAGCAAATAATCAAATTTAACGTGAAAAAAACCTAGTCAATTGTCATACGTACCACTCCGTACCCTGGATAACCGTCTAATTGAATCGTAATTTCTAGTTGCTCGTTCAAATTTGCGCAATGCAAATCGGCGCTGCAGCCGGGAGCGATTCTACTGCCTTCTACACCTGCCTCGTACGTCAATTCGTACGGCAACAGGTTCGTCAACGTTATGGGCGCCATTACTGCGATTGTGTGCGCCGGCAACACTTGCATACCGTCAGATGGATAATTGTTTCGTCTTACGGCCACGCACATTCTGCGGCAAGAGAAAACGATAATTAAGTTTCGCTAGATTCTTCGAGGTAAAAGCTCCGCTTTCATAGATACCTGAATATATTGTTCTGATTAGTCCGGCAAGTGACATAGTTCTCTGTTACCTCCGACGGCTTTTTAACTACCGTCCAGTCCACCGATTCCATGCAATATTGGAACAGGTAGTTCGAGATGAGCGGTTTGAAGCACATCTGCACGCCGGTGTGCGTCAAAGGCACGGACATCACCGATTGCGCCGGCACTTGTAGAATTCTTCCAGTGCTGGTCAAGGACAAGTCTGAAAAGATACAACTGTTGATCAGATTTGTGCTAATCGTTATCAAGGGCGAATCGCAAAAAAAAAAACTAACATCCAAGGTTCAACGATTTTTCCATTTTGATCTCGATCGGATGAGCCAGCTTGTTGGACACCTGAAGGGCTGATCTAATAGTAACTAACTTCCTGGCGGATCCTTCCAATTCCACAGCAAACACGACTCTAGCTTTCGGTGTGATCGACTGAAAATGAACATTGTTATTATTACAGTATACTGTATTATTGTATGTTTATAATGAGCCAAAATAAATTCTCTTTGACCACCTAAAAGGACAGAAGGCCTGAACATAATGTTTTATGTTCTAAATCTTCGTCTTAAAGTAACGTACAATAACTGTTTTGTGTCTTAAGGCTAATATTACATTTGTCGTGCAACAAATTTGTCAAGCGTGTCGATTGGCTGCAGAATAGAAAATTTCTAGAGACTCAACAACTTTTCTATTCTGCAGTCAATTGACACGCTTGAAAAATTTGTCGTACGACAAATGTAATATTAGCCTAAGAGTACAGGACAGCCATTCTGCTAGGCCCTATACATGCGAGTGTAGTAAAAAAGTATGAGATAATTTGGAATTTAGGGAATGATAATTTCCAATTTTTGTAAAAAGATACATAACACTACAGCACAGCATTATATAGAAAGTGATCCAATCATAAGGAATATGAGCATAAAATAGTATCACCTTACCTGAAATCCGGCGATGTCAGCATTTGCGTGTCGGAAGTAAATGCCCACGCGATCGACGGTCACAGGATCGACCGGCTTCCAGCCCTCGACCAGAACCGCAATCTGGTGTCTCCTGACGATATGCGTCGCGTGATGCCTCAGCTTGCCTCTCTCTTCGAACGTGAACGGCGTCGTGTCGCCCGGAATCACCTCTATCCACGTGTCGTCCTTGTCTGGGATGTTCTTCGTTCGAGATGACGCTTTGCTCACGTCTATCGTCTCGTCCGTCGTGGCGATGAACGTTTTAAACCAAAGCCGACAGCCAGTGTCATTCTTCAGGGCGAATGGTATAAAGGGCGAGCGACGACGATACACCTGTCCGGTCGTCGCCGATTTACCGACGATCGCGTTTCCGTTAGATAGATAGTAATCCTGCGTCCAGTTGTGTTTAACCAGCTGCACGAGTTCCACTAGCGTCAGCGTGACATTAACGTTCACAGAATCGTAGGAGTTGATGGACACGTGCAGTCTCTTCGGATCGAACGAGCTGGCGAACACCTGTTCCCAGTCAATGTTCGCCCGCCAGGGTTCAATAAACGGTTCCCAGCCGCTCAGCACTCGGTTGTAGTAGTCCACGCCGATAGTGGCGGACAGCAAGCCCGGCTGCTGACTCAGCTTCCGCATGTTGAAGTCCGCCAAGGTGATCTCCAAAAGCGGCACGTCCGCGTCGCGACAATCGTCGATGATACATATCCGCATGCAGGACACCTGCAGCTCTATGGCCCGGAAGACCGAGTCGTCGCTGGCCGCGGCCGTCCCGGCGCTCGTCGGCACCGCGTTCTGCGTCAGCCACAGAGCGGCATCGTCCAGCTGGCCGTCGCAGTGATCCAGCGCGATTTTGCAGTCTGCCTCTGCGAAACCTAAATTGATCAGTTTCAACACCTGGCCGTCCATTATCTGATTGCTCTCCAGGCCCGCCTCGCTCGATCTCTGCCTCGCCCACAAGGTCTGCTTGGGAAGGGAGCTCAGCATCCTGGAGAACATGGTCACGTCGTGATAGCTCAGTCTCACGCACAATGGCTGCAGCTGGATCTCCAGGGATCTGTCCTGAGTTAGATCCAAGCTAGCTCCGACCGGATCGATGATCGATAGAGCGGTCTCGTTCTCCAGGCCCAGGATACACGAAAATAGTTCGCAATGCGAGAGATTGCAGGAGAGCGGCTTCTCGCCGTCCTGCGGCGCCGAGCGGTACGACAGGACGGCGGTCGTTCTGAGAATCACGGCGTTGGTGTCGAGGATCGCGGTGTCCTCGACGATAACCAGCTCCGAGTCGGTGATGTTGATCTTGAGTTCAAACGGTACGGCGGTCGCGGCGGTGTCGACGACTTCGGCTTCCTGATTGACAACTGACACGTGCACGGCGCCGGGTATAGGGTCCGGCTCCGGCGAGTTGAGCAACAGGAAGTCTCGCACGGCCTGCCACCAGTCTAGAATAGCGGTCAGTCGCATGCTGTGCAGCAGAATGGTAGTCGCCGAGTAAGCCTTGCGCTTCCGGTGATGCACCTCCGCCTGGACGCGGTCCTGCGCGGCCTCGGTCGTGTCCGCCGTGTCTCTCAGCGGCTGTAGGATTCGCGTAAACACGTTGCACTGCCGATCCACCGGCTCGTTCTGGAAACGCGTGTCCGTGATCAGGATCTCCTGCGACACCAGATCGATGTCCTGCGAGCCGTCGCTCAGCGAGTCCAACGTCAGTCGGGACTTGATGAAGTTGATGCACGCGAGCGCCGCGATGTTGTGACTCGGATGCAGCTTCACCGTTACGTTCACCAGCTCGAGAGTTATGCAGGATCGGGTCCACGTGTTCGCGCGATTGTCCACTGGGATCGCGTATTCCACCGTGTGATTCAAATCCTGGACGAGGAGACGCAGGTCGTCCAGGTTCTCGCCGATGTTGTAAGACAAGAGGCCGCGGATCAGCATGTATTGTTCCGGGTCCAGGGCGCAGTCCATTGTCGACAGTATACCGTGTATACTGAGATCGGGTATGTCGCGGCTGACGTAAGTGTCCAGATTCCGTTCGACGCGCAGCTTCAAATGACACTTTTCCGTGAGCAACGAGGAGCCCATCTTCTTGACGAGGAAGCCACCCACCATCAAGGCGTCCGCGTCCTCTTTCAGGCTCGAGTCGCACTTGAGTCGCCGCGCCGCGTACACGTCCATGTTGACTAGCTCCAGCAGCATCACGTCCAGCAGGCAGTCCGGTACGATTAACGAGGTGTCGAATCGATTGTGCGCCGTGAGCTCTCCCAGGTCGAGCAGAATCAATTCGTCAGACCTGGAACTCACCGGCAGCAGTATTACCGGTGCGCCGGCGTGCAGCTGCAGCGACAATCGCGTGCCGCGCTTGTTCACGTCTATGACGGCGCCGACGCCGGCCCGCAAATTCCGCATGATGCTCCATAGTTGCGAGAAGTGGCCGAAGAAGGCCTGCAGCTCCGCGACGAATCGCTGAGTGTGAACGTAATGCACGGCGGACATCTCCAGCTTTAGCCGCGCGTCGTGAGGCCGATCCTCGCAGTCGGCGTAGCTCGAGTACTGGAAGTTGAGCGCCTTCCTTCCGGACGACAGGAATCTCTCGCGGTAGAATCGGCCATGCGGCGTCAGGTCCAGCAACGACATCGAGCCCAACGACCCGGACACCTTGGTCTTGCCGTCCACCGTCTTGAGGATATGCATACTGGCGTTGGACACGTTGGCCTTGGCTATTTCGCGCTCCAGCTGCGTCAGCACCAGTGTCAGCGATCTCACTTCTATCTCCGTTTCCGACCTTACCGGCAAATTGTCGTCCACCTTGCTCGCGCCGGTGATGTCGCTGTCCGGTGTGGCTCGATGCGCGGCGACTTGGTCACCCGCCGCCCCGGACAGGCCTGCAATCCCAAAGAAGTCAAACACCACCATCCACGACTCGACGCTTATCACTAAGTCCAGGCAATTGAAGTCCACGGTTACCATTTTGCGATGGAACCGATCTTCCGGTACGACGCAGCCGTTCTCTTCGGGACGTGTCATGGTGATACTCATTAGCACCAGGTTCTCTTCACTGGCGACGCCGCCCGGCGACGGCGGCGGAGTGTGCGGCGTGTCGGCGGCCGACGAGACCGCCGGCTTCCTGCGCCAGTGCGCCGGAATCGCGTCGTACAGGCTGTAAGTCTCCAGCCGATCCGGCAGACTGCCATGCCCGAAGGCGTTCTTGTACTGCCGCGCGAACGCGAGATCCGGACAGGACCTGGAAACGCCCGTGGGCAGTTTGGCACGCGTGGGCGCCGACGACTGCATCATGTAGCGATGCCGCGAGCCAACCGGGCACAGGAGATCCTCCATCAAGAGGGAACGCAGCGCGACCTGCACGCTGGACTCGTTCCCGTGTAACTTGTCGTACTTGACGACGAAGTCGCGCATCGACAGCTCCACCAACGGCTGCTCCGAGTGCGCCTGTTTCAGTTCCACGCTAAGGATCGGCAGCTCGAACGAGACCTTCACGCAGAGGTCGAGCTTTTCCGAGTAGTCGTTCGGTCCATCGAGATCGTCGTATTCCGACACCGCGGCCGTCGCGGTCACCGCCGGCATGGAGAACAATCGGTGGGCGGTGTCGAGCAGCTGCTCGTACTGGCCGCGCGACAGCGACACTTTCAACGGCGTTATTACGGCGCCGTGCACCTGCACAATCGGACTGTTGCTCGTAAAGTCGCCGCCGTCAAGTAGGAAGCTCATGCTCTGCGTCAACGTGTTTTGCTTCTCCACCAAGATCTTGAGCGTCGTGTCGTGCAGTATCGGCTTACCCGACTCCTTGCACGAGTACATCTCCTCGGCCCTCGGCAGGTTGCTCTGCGGCTGCCCGATGTTGGCGGACACCTCGAGGGAATACAGATTCATGTCGCGCACCTCCAGCGTCACCTTGTGCTTCGCCATGGAGCCCAAGTGGGGTTCGTGTCGCAGCGACATCGTGCCCAGGTGAGCGACGAACACCTGTTTGCTGTGCGAGGAACGCGGTATCACGAGCACCGGGCTCTCCAGGAGCACGTCTAATCTCAGCGACAGCGCGTTCGCGTTATCCAGATCAATCGAGACGCTCGGCAGACGTTTGCGCGGCGGGATCGTCCAATCGTCGGCGTTCACCAGACCGATCGCCATGTCGGTGGCGGCTGCGCTGATCTGGCGGGCAAAGTTGCTCAGATATTGCTTGAATTCGTCAGCGCACGAGCGCAGTTCCGATATCAGGTGCGGCGCGTGAGTGTACCAGACACTGGCCACGCGTATCGTCAGGTCGAGGTCGATCTCCGTGCAATCCTCCTCGCTGGCTTGCCTGGTGTTGCGACTGGCCACGAATTTGAACGCCTCCGGCTGATCGGACAGACTGCTGAAGTGCTCGAGCGGATGGTGCTGCGGGTCCGCCAGGGGGTCTCGACCCACGCTGATTATCCGCTGATGCGTCTTCCCGGTTGGCGTCTGGTCGAGAACCTGCACGCCACCGAGGGAGCCCGAGATCGACGTGTTCGCGGCCAAAGTCGCCTGTATGCGCGCGTCCGACATGGTCGCCGTGGCGATTTTCTGCCCCACCAAGTGATTGTCCTGCATGACCGCGCGTAGGAGCAGCACGTTCAAGCGGTGAAAGTCGAAGGTGATCTCGGTTCTCGTTGACATCGACCTCATTTCTATACTCTGACTCGACAGAGAATCGTCTCGGCTCGCGACGTACGCCGTCCGCGATTTTTGCAGCGGCAAGAGTCTCCGGAAGAAACCTAGCAACTCCACTATCGTCTCCTGATTAGCTATGATATCCAGATTATTGAATTGTATGTTGGCCATTCTTAAATTTTCCGCGGGGTCGTCCACCAGCGTCAACTCTACGACAATCAGCGCTTCCGAGTCTAATTTTTCTAGGCCGACCAACGAATTGTTCTTAGGTGATTGCGGGGTCTTAGTTTTATTCGCCAGAGTCGACAGAGCGTTGGTCAGGGCGACGGGCGAGGTCAGTCGTGGTGGCCTTGTGGAGTCCGGTGACTCGGGCGACTCCGGCGAGATGGGCGATGTCGGCTCCGAATCCCTTAATCTGCCGGACACGCTGTCCATGCCGACATGCTTGTGGCTGGCCACCAGCAGTTCGAAGTCGGGCCCGAATTCCTGAAGAGCGTCAACCAAGAGCAGACCGTGGACGGAAAGAGAGACGCTCAGATCTGCCATCCTTTTGCTGAGGGCCGCCCGAACACCGGACACCTGCAGCTCCGCCACGCTGCGGCCCCTCGACTGCAACTCAAAGGCCATCTGATCGATGATAAATTGCACCATCACGGCATGGCTCAAGGAACGATCCAGATTCTCTTCCTTCCTGGGGCTTTTCGGCTCCACGCTGATAGCTTCTGTCTGCGGGATGCCGGCGGAGTTGGAGAAGCTCGACAGTAAGTTATAAATTAGGCGTATCGCGCCTACTTTCTGCTCGTTCACGTGCACCACCAGTCTCGGCAGGTTACCGGATACCGTGACCGACGGGAAATTAGGATCCGAAGTGGTAAAGACACGTCGCTCAATTTGTAACGATATGTTGAAACGCTCGAGAAAGTGCAAACTCGACATGCCTCTCGTGCGAACGTGCTTCCAATTGTCCTTTGTCTTGCCCACTAAAATCTGCAGGTCCACTAGATTGATGGAGTACTGGTCGTACAATTTCCTGTGCAACTCGGTCTCGGACAGGCCCTGAAAATCGTGCAGAGAACCGTTCTCCTGGCTACCGGGCGGCGTGGAGCAAGGTGTCTCGTATCTCTCGTCTTCGTCGTCGTCACTGTTGGTCGACTCCGTTTTCAGTATCACCTGATTCAGATACGCGTCGTTCGACAAATGTAACTTGCCAAAGTCGACCATCACCACGGCCGCATTGGAATCGACAAAGCTCTCCACCAATAGGATTTGCGGGGCAGAGATCTTAAACTGTAGATCCCAAGACGAGCGGTATACGAAATCGCCGTCCAAGATCTGTTCCCAGTTCTTGATCAGCTGCCTCCTCGTGCGACGCTTCATCGCCTGGAATCGCTGGTTGGACGACACCGATCGATGCGGCTTGCACATAAAGTCTATCAGCCAGTATATCACGGTTGGATTGTAAACGACATCCAAAGACTGCGAGTACACGTGCAACAAATGATCCACGTTAATGTGCAACGGTCTTTTCTCGTATGTCAGCTCGAACAAGTGACGCGGCGTTTTTGTCAGTTTCTCCGACGAATTGCGGACGCGCGAGGATATACCGTTGGACTGGACCTGAGGCTGCACCAAAATGGGAAACGTGGAGTTGTCCGTGAGAAAATCGTGCAGGTACAACGCACCCAGACTGATCGAGAACCTGTGGGACCCGGACCTGGGTCGTGACTCGTAGCTCAGGTTCACTCTTTCGAACTTCAGTTCTATCACGGTTTTCCTGCCGTTGCTCTCGTCTTTCGCGGTGCACAACGATACCGCGCCTTGCACCAGGGCGAAATTGAACTGACCGAACACCGCGTCGCGACGTAGAAGAGTGTCATCGTTCACGGTGTCCGCTAAAACGTCTAGCAGTTCCCCGTCGAAAGTAGTCGAGTTACTTCCGTTTTGCGTCCCATTGCTGCTGTGAGGCGTCTTCGAAGACCAGCCCCACCATTGTGGAAACCATTGCTCGAGCATGCCGCGTCCCTGCGGCACATTTATATTAGGCTCTTGTTGCGAGTTTGTAGGTTTCACTTTCTCCATAGCCAGTTCCCTCAATACTCGAAGCTGGTCAAAATTCCGCTCGTTCTCGACCTTCTCCTTCAACGTTTTAATTTCCAGCGGTAAAATCGAGGTAGGCGTGCCTGGCGAGAAAAGATTTGAAAGGAAATTTTCATCGTTTCAGGAGAGAACGCTATTGCGAACAACCATTAAAAGATATTCGTTTGTACCTAACACTTTAGCGTACGCTTGAACGTAAGAGACGTTCTCTTTGGCTCTGAGAAGTACATCTTCCCAGGTTGGCTTCGGTTTCAGCGTATCCCTGCCGAGATGGCATCTGGCGGCGTACCTCCACCATTCCCTGCAAGCCTTTTTCACGGGGATTACAGGCCTACAGCGCCACTGCTGTTTACGACGATCTATGCGATCAAGCTCCTTGACACACATGACCATCTCTTCATATTGCAGCTGAAAGAATAATTTGTTACATTGCGCGAATCAATCGGGTTTGACTGTCGCTTATTATTTACAAGACTTACATCTGTTACAGACAATGGTACTTCATCCAAGAGCAAATCTACTACGATACGTGGTTTACCCATAGACCTCAATGGACGCTCGGTTCGATCCCTCTTAATGTGCGCTCTCGCATTCACGGGCGACAAGATGTGCTGTCGAGTCTTATTTTTGCTCATGGCAATCTACAAATCGAATCGGTTACAGTATTGTATAAGATGAACAAGAGCGCGATTGGTGCACCGAGCTCTGTACGTCTTACAGCTAGATCGCCCAGATTAAGACCGCCAAAGAGCTGATCCTTCTTCATGTGATTCCAATAAACCGACAGACTATCGAGTTCCATTAGCTTGAACGACGCGTCCGTAAGATTCCAAGATGTGGAACTGGGTACCCAGTTGGCGTCGCAACTCTGAGTAGTCAATCCTCCAATCGTAATGCCAAACGCAATGCCATTGTCTGCGCATAAAGAGATCGAAGGTTTCATCGAGAGTACATCGAGTACAAGTTTCAACTTCCATCAACATTACGCTCGTACATAAATTATTTACTTACCGTCTGGCAGCGTAATACCATCTTCATACCTAATATGAACATCTTTGATATTCAACTGCAAATTCTCGATGATGTTCGTTACCAGAGACGTGCCGTAATTCAGCCACGAGCTGTAACTCGAAGCGTAATAACCAGGTTCGTGCTCTATGTCGGCTCGCCATCTCGCTTCCAGAGCATCCAGTCGACTGAGCTTATATTCTAGTATTGCTTGTTCCTCCGCCTCGTTATCGTACTGAAGATATGTTTATTTAGATATTTAGATCGATTATTCGAAATGTACACGCAACATGAATTCATCCGTTACATAATCTCACGGACGATTTCGAAATCTCTCGTCGAGACTTCGAAATAACAGGATACGGAAAGCCACAACATTTTACCTCGTCGAGATTAATTGGTCCTGCCACTAAATAGAGCTGCTCTATGCCTATCACCCACGGCGCGGTCCTTATCTGCCTGACCGGCACTTGCAATCTGACTTTGCCGATGAATCCAGCCTTGATTTCCATCGGCAGTCCAATGTGACGCAAAGCCTCGCGCTTCAGGGGTAAGTTCTCCAGTTCAACTTCCCCTAAAACAGACGACCGTTGAGAAAACGAGCGCATTAAGCGGTAAGTACGATGGCAGCCGTAAAACCGATTGATCCACGCTTAATATTCCCAAAGAGATAGCGACTGATCTCTTTTGCAAGGTCGTATCCTCGATTTTACGCAATTACTGGTTTGCGTAGCCTAAATACTCATTCTGGACCAGAACGAGCGCTTAGGCACAAAAACCGAAAACCGAGTCTATTGCGAAAGAGATCGGTCGATACGGTAGAAGAAAAGAAACTTATTCGTCGCGCGAACGTAGAGCGACAAGTTAGAAACGAACGTGCGTTGTGCCGCGTAGCACCGGAGCGAGTTTTTAACGTAACACCTGGTCTACAATGTGCTCGTTGCGTCTGGAAACATTCTATTTTGCAGCCAACAAATTACATTGAAAAGGTGTGCGCGAGTTGATCAGTTGTACATTACATTGTGCAATCGCACGTGGCCGACAAATGTTTTTAAGCGTCTCGACTTGCTTAAATAAAGTAGAATGTTTCTAGACGCGGCAAGCACTTTGTACATTACGCTCTGGACAAGGATGTAAAGCATAAAGCGTGTCTTAAGAGCACAGAACGGCCCCATTCCGCTCGTGCCCCGACGAATGCGTAGCGCGCGACATAACCTCACCCGACAGCAAGGCGATGCTCAGCTGGTCGGTGTTCAGGTTCTCGACGTATTTGCCGAGGTAGTTGTTGAGCACCCAGGCGACGAGTCCCTCCAACATTTTGACCGTGCGGCACCCTCGCCGCTGCCCAGCCGGAGTTGTCTGCGTGAGTGCGCACAAGTGGCCGCATAGGTTATGGTCCCCTAAATATCGCGCGGGTTCGCGGGACCTGCGGAATAACAGCGCGTGAGGACGGCGCATACGAACGGCCCGTGCCTGGCGCTCGCGCGACTGGTACCTCTCGTGTTTCGCGTGTCGTTGCGTCCCTCATCGAGCACTCGTGTTTCGCCGTCGAGATCCATTTCGGGTATCGGTCTCTCGCATTGACCACCACCGTCGACCACCAACAACCCTGACAACCACTGCTCTCGCGTTCGGAAACGCGCCGGTGCACGGCGCGTAATGGCCGTATCACACTCGGGCAGCCAATTGAGCCAATGGCAATGCGCCAACGCGTACTGTGATACGGCCATAACTCGGTCCGATCGGATTGGCGGGTCGCATCGCGCCGAGGGTCGATTCTCGCGATATCGACCGTGTATCGACCGTATCGTCGTGCGCGTCGACGTATGTAATCGCGAGTAATCTCGGCGGATGCCGTGGATGCCGTGATAACGAGTGCACGGTAATCTGGCAATGTGGCACCTGCGGCAAAAAGAGGATCTCTAACCTGACTCCCCCGGGCTGACCGACCAGGCGGATCAGAGAGCGAGAGAGCGCGACGCTATGTCCTAGGTGTTTTTTCGCACGGTGCACCGGTGAGGAGGGACGCGCGTGTATATTAACTCTCCCCAGCTATGTCCGCATGCGGTGGACGAGGATGAATCTGCCGTCGATCGTTCTCGGGGTCCTCTGCCTCCTGGACGTGTTCAGGTCGTCCCGCGCGTGGGACAATGACGAGCTGGAGGTGTTCGACGTGGTCGAGGAGGTCAATCAAAATTTCTACGACGTGCTGGGCGTCACGCAGGTACGCTTTCCCCCGCGGATATACGTTCGAACGTGTGCGACGTGAGCGCGAGGCTGCGTCGACCGACGATTATAATTCACTTGGCGTTTGTTTCTCTCTTCAGTCCGCGAACGCCTCCGAGATCAAGAAGGCTTTCAGGCGGCTGTCGCTGCAGCTGCATCCAGACAAAAATCCGGCGGAGGACGCGGAGCTGCAGTTCAGAAAGGTACTCGGTAAATGGAGCGACGAGGAGACGCCGCGGCTCACCGAATTGACGTCCTGACAACTGTGGCTTTCCTCTTTCAGTTAGTTGCCGTTTATGACGTTTTGAAAGACCCTGGGAAGCGGCAGAAGTATGACAACGTGCTCGTTAACGGGCTGCCGAATTGGCGGTCAGCGGTGTATTACTATCGCCATGTCCGAAAAATGGGATTGCTGGAGATGAGCGTCATCTTGTTCATAGTCATCACGATAGGGCAGTATCTCATAGCCTGGGCGGCGTATTTCGAGAAACGGTACACCTACGTGAGTGACGCTTCCTTGCGCTCGGTAGAGGCGCCTCTTTTCCTCTCGTTTCGTATGCGGCAATTGGCATCTTTATGATTTTACAGGAGCAAGTTTTAGGTAGCAAACTACAAAAGATGCAGAAGAAGAATAGAAAGAGCAAAATAGACGTTCCAGATTTAGCCGACATCTTGGAAAGGATTCCTACTCCAAGTGTATGGAACACTCTTCCAATTCAGTTACCAAAGTGGATAATAGGTTCCGTGATAGCCATACCTTCTACCATTCGTCTCGTCATTCAGCTTGCGAAAGAAAGGAAAGAGAAGAAAAAGCAGGAGGAAGAGGAGGCGTTGTAAGTATACAGCCGTCTCTTTCTCTCTATAATTGAGTCTCGAGTCAAGAGGATGTGAATCGACGTCTGTTGTTTTATTACAAAAAAGATGAGTAAACTTCACCTTTAAAAGTTTGATGGTTAACGGAGAGCTCACTAAAAAGAAGCAAAAGTAAAAAATATTAAAAGAAAAACAGAAAAAAAACTTGGGCTAATAATGCGTCAATACTGTTGTCACGCAACAGAGGTGTATCATTAAATAAAATATCTCTTTTCTTATACTATTTGCGATAAATGTTACACTAAATATTTTTATCTACATATTACAAGCTTATAAGAGCTTTGGAAAGAAACAAAACGAATTTTTATAGCACATTTTTGTATCTTAGTAATTTGACAGTTACCGTTAAAAAATAATTTTTCTTACAACTCGACTTACCAGTGATAAAATCAGACCAAATTTTATCACTGGTGATAATAAGAGTACTTGAGTTTGTTGACTTGCATTGCTCTTGAATTGAGGCCCGTAGTCGCTCGTACAAAACTTGCACATCTGTTCCAGAGCACAAGAGAGCGAACAGCCGGAACCAGAAGTAACGTCGCGTGCCGTTAGGAAACGTCGGCCTGGCTTTACCCCGCAAGAGAGAAGCGGTAATAATTCTAAGGAAACTGTTAAAAAAGAGAACTGCGATTATACGAATCACGTCGACGAGAAGCCGATGGTGTCCGGTGGCTTGTGGACCGATAATGACATATTAGAACTGATTAAATGTGTGAAGAAGTTTCCCGGAGGGACTCCAGAACGGTGGGAGAAAATCGCGAGCGTTATGAATCGTACCGTCGTGGAAGTTACGCACATGGCTAAGAAGGTTATTACTGTTGCGTCAATTTTGTCTGTTATTAAATCGACAACAGAAGTTGAATCGCGTTTACTTCACGTTAGGTGAAAGAGGAAGGTTTGAAACCTGTTGAAACGGTGGAAGAAGTTACTGCGGAGGACAAACCGAGGAAGGTTAAAACTCGTAGTGAAAACACAGCCAGCGCTTCTGAGTGGAGTCAAGAACAGCAAAGAGCGTTAGAGGCAGCCCTGACGAAATATCCCAAAGGCATGTCTGTAGATAGGTGGGAAAAAATTGCAAATTGCATCGAGGGGAAGACGAAGGTACGTTATCTACTCTTCTCTTTGCGGATTATATGGGAACATTTCTAATATTTGTTATTACAATTTCAAAATTATATTGTTCGCAGGAGGAGTGTCAAGTGCGCTATAAACAATTGGTGGAATTAGTAAAAAAGAAGCAACAATCTCAATAGTTCAATTTGTATAAAATCCTCTTTTCCCAAAAATATATTTTGTAATACCATCAGGAAGTGGTATTACTGAACAATACCATGAGTGCGGAAGCGGAAAAGAAAGTGATATTTCCTGGCTAACAAAATATCAATTCGTCTCTTTTGGAAGATCATAAATTTCCTACAGATTCTTTTGTACAAATGGTGCGTCAGCCGTGTTACATGTAATACGCATATGCGTCCACGCATATAATAACAAACTCGGTTATTATAAGTGAGAGATTAATCTAAGGAGGGGAAAGAATCAGTTAAATAGGAAAATCTTTCCTGTCATCTTATTGAATGTTACTGAAAATGTATTTATTTAATAAATTTAATAACTAATTAAGAGGGGAAAGACTGAAAAACGTATGATCTTAAAATATTGCCCTCTTCTCTAAGAAGACTGATTACTCAATGTATCGTACTTTGTCGAAGTAGATCTTGATAAACGTTGAAGAGTATCGAAAGTCTAATGTGCATATGATTATATATTTACAATGTTTACAAGTATATATACATCACAGAGATCTGTAAATAATCCTCTTTTTATAACTGCATTCTTGTACACAATTCAATGGTCGCATTACATTTCTCCAGTTTTCACCATGACGCCATAATAAAATCAATTCAACATCTTGGCGATATCATAAGCTGTCTTCATATTCTTTGCTTCCTAATAACAAAAGTATTTTTCTTTTACATGAATCAAGAATGCTATATGTTACACTTGCAGAAGAAAAAGGTTGCCCGTCCCGGAAAGTCTTGTTGTAGGTGCGAGCTGCATAAACGCGAAGCAAGCACTACTTTGGGAGCTAAAATGGATTGTTAAACACGTTGAATGATACTTACATAGACTTTATAAGCGTATTCCTTAATTACGTCGCCTGCGAACGCGCGATATCCTCCACGCGTTCGGCTCCTCGTACTTGTTGTAGAGCGGCTCCAGTCTTTGATTCTTTTTGAACTTGCTGAGTTTGGTCGGGTCGCTGAACTTGAAGAACGCGGGTGCGAACTCCACCAGCCATTTCGGATCGATCGTCGTCACCTCCCTCATGTATTCCTTGGTGGTCTGCACCAACTCGTGATAGATGACCCATTCCGGCTGGCGATTGAACAGCGCGCTACTCGGATGGATATACACCACTTGGCTGTCGACCAGCGTCCTGTATCCCTCCTGCGGATCCTTCTTCGCGGCGTTCCTGAAGAATCCCGAGCACACCGCCTTCTGTATGCGCACGGTGTTCTTGCCGGCCGATACCACGTCCAACTTGTGCCTGTCCATAATGCCGAGCAGTTGCTTACGTACGTCTTGGGCGCGCTTCAACGTACGTATCTGCACAAAGTTCTCGTAGCACCAAGCGTTGCTCAGCTTGTTGTTCTTCCAGGAATTATAGACCGCCAGTAGGGTGAGGTGATCGCCCTCGGGTTGATTAAACTTGGCCTTCTTCTGATCGGCCAGGGCCTGCTTGTCCTTCGGCCGATAGAAGACGTTCTGCACGGACAGCATGCTGACGATAGTCAGGATCTCGTCGGAGCACTGCAGGTGCACGCTCATGATGAGCATCTTGGACAGATTCGGCTCCAGCGGGAATTCGGCCATTCGCCGGCCCAGCCGCGTCAGCAGGCCCTCGTTGTCGAGTGCGCTCAGGCTGTGCAACGACTCCAGTGCCATGATTAGCGACTCGACCGGCGGCGCGTCCATGAAATCAAAGTGCAGGAGATCGTTGATGCCCATGGTTTTGAGCTGCAGCACGGTGGTGGCGAGATTCGTGCGTTGTATCTCCGGGACCGGCGTGGGCAGCATCTCGTCCCTGTAGGCCCGCTCGGTGTAAAGTCGATAGCACTTGCCAGGGCCGGTTCTGCCGGCTCGGCCGCTTCTCTGCTTCGCCGCCGCCTGGCTGATCGGCGTCACTATCAGACTGTCCATGCCGGTCTTGGAATTGTAGACCTTCTGCTTGACGAAGCCCGGGTCGACGACGTAGTATATACCGTCGATCGTCAGGCTGGTCTCGGCGATGTTCGTGGCGATGACGACCTTGCGCGAGCCGGGCGGCGCCGGCTCGAATATTCTGGTCTGCATCTCGGACGGCAGGGCCGAGTAGACCGGGAGGATAATCAGCTCCGGCACGTCCGGGCCGAGTGACTTCATGCGCTCGTAGAGGATCTCGCAAGCGGTGTCGATCTCCTCCTGACCGGTGAGGAAGAGCAGGATGTCGCCCGGCGGCTCGCGCAGGTGGATCTGCATGACGGTGATGAGCGCGGCGTCCAGGTAATCGGTCTCCGGCTCCTTCGTGTACATCACCTCGACCTCGAACGTGCGCCCGGGTATGGTGAAGATGGGCGCCTCGAAGAAGTACTGCGAGAACTTGACCGCGTCCAGGGTGGCGCTGGTGACGATCAGCTTGAGGTCGGGCCTGCGACCCACCGCCTGCTTCAGCAGGCCGAACAGCACGTCCGTGTGTATCGTGCGCTCGTGCGCCTCGTCCAGCATAATGACCGAGTACGTTTTCAGATCGAGGTCCATCAGGCACTCGCGCAGCAGCATACCGTCCGTCATGTACTTGATGTTGGTTTCCGGCCCGGTGCAGTCCTCGAAACGGATGGTGTAGCCCACCTCCTGGCCGAGGCAGCAGCCAAACTCCTCCGCCACACGCTTGGCCACGCTCATAGCCGCGACACGTCGCGGCTGCGTGCAGCCGATCTTGCCGCGCGCGGTGAAACCGGCCTCCGCCAGGTACTGCGTGATCTGCGTCGTCTTGCCCGAGCCGGTCTCGCCGATCACGATCAAAATCTGATTGTCCGTGACGGCTTTCACCAGGTCGTCGCGCAGCTTGTAGATCGGCAGGCTCTGACGCTGCTCCAGCAGCGTCAGATTGGTCTTCTTGCCGAACGACGACTTCTTGCCGCCTATCACGTGCTTCTTCCACTCGGGCAGGTCCTGCGTTTGCAGGCCGATGCCGCGCATGTTTGCCGCGAGGGTGCGGCTCTCCGCGTCCGGCAGCGGGTCTATCCAGTTCTTGTTCAGGCCGGTCGGCACGGAGTCCATCTCCTGCTCGCGCTGCAGCATCTTCTGCTCCCGTCGCTCCTTCGCCAGGGCGCTCTGCATCATCGCCGCCTGCGCCAGCGAGCCGTCCGGGTTCTTCACTATTCGTACGGGACTGAGATCGCCGAGCGCTCTGCCGTGGCCGTGCAGGAACGGCGGCTCCTCCTCGACCAGCTCGATCTCCACGTCCTCCTCCTCGTCGTCCTCCCGCGGCAGGATTCCGGTCTCCGTGTCGAACTCCGGCAGCTCGCTCCTGTCGATGCACGACGCCGCCAGCATCTGCTTGATCTCCCACTTCTCCGGCGACGACAGGCGTTGCACGCGCTTCCTCGAATACGTCTCGTCCTCGTCGTAGTTGCCTTGCAGCTCCAGCAGGGAGGTGGGCCGGTCCGGGTTGCGCAGGTGCTTCTCGTCCTCGTCCGCCTTCGCGACCGGCACCACGGGGTTCAAGTCCCGGCCGGTCTCCTGGTCGACGTCCTTCATGCTCAGCGACACCTTCTGCCCGCCGACGTTCAGCACCTTCACCAGGACCTTCTGCCCCCGGGAGACCACGTCGCTGGCGTTCGCCACTCGGCCCTCCCGCCGCAACTGGGAGATGTGCACCAGGCCCTCCCAGCGGCGTCTCAGACCCTCCAGCTGGACGAAGCAGCCGAACGGCACGATGTTGGCGACCTTGCCGGCGTAAATCTTACCCACCTCCGGCTCCGCGGAGAGCGTCTCCTCGGCGGACTTGGACCTCGACCGGTCGGCGTTGCGTCTCCTCGAGTGCCTCGCGTCCCTCGCGTCCCTGCGCTCGCGGGACGGCGACCTCCTGCGCTCCCGCGACCCGGAGCGCCGCCTGCGCGTTCTCTCGCGCGACCTGTGACGCGTCCGCGAGCGGGAGCGCGTCCTCGATCGGTGCCTGGGCCGCTCCTTCCGACCCGGCGATCTGGATCTGTGTCGCCTCCTGTCCCTCGACCTGCTTCTGCTCTTCCTTCCCCGCTTGCTCTTCCTCTCGTCGTTGTCGATTCTGCCGTTACTCTTCTCCGCGCCCGCCGGCTGCTTCTTGGATGGCGCGAACGCCTCCAGGGACGCCATCACGTCGTTGACGATGTCCTCGTCCTTGGCGTCGCCGTCCCTGGCCTCGCAGCGCAGACCCTCGTTCGGCAACGCCAGCGCCGGGAACTTGAGCGCCAGCTCGTCCTGCCTGCTCGCCGACTTGGAGGTCGGCTTATCGGCGGACGACCTCGCGGGCTTCATGTGCTGGATTATCCTGAGAAGGTTCGCCATGAAGGAGTCCGAGAACTCGGCCCCGTTCTCGATCAGCACCTTCTTGAACGCCGCGAACGTGCCGTTCTTCTCGGCCAGGTGTATGATGAACTCGGCCAGGTCCTTGTCGTTCAACCCCAGGTGATTCTCCAGCTCCGTGCAGATCTTCGACACCAGAGACAGGTGCTCCAACTTCGTAACCTCCTCCATCGTCCTGGTCCGCGCGAGCGCACGCTTTTCAATCGTTACCCAAGCTCGGATCCCTCGGTCCTCGTGACTGAAAATTCACACGAGAGAGTTAAACGGCCGCCCCGTGTTCGGCGTCGACGACAACCCGCCGTTTGTATACCTGTTTTCCGCTCACAGCGTCGAGTCGCGCGTCAGACAACGTAAATAGAAGAGTGAATAAACGACGACGTTACAGCGGAGTCTAACCTAACCTAACCTCGCCGCCGCCCGCGCCGCCTATGATCCGCAACTCGCGCGCGCGCGGTGGCGCCAGCTGGTGGCGACGGTTTTTAAACTCCCCCCTCCTTTGCCGCCGCGCGAGTTGGAGCTTGGAGCACTTGGGGAGCTTCTGACATTCTAGTCCCTATAGTGTCATCCGGAACCACTACTGTGCGTACGTGCATGCGTCAGTGTGTGTACATTGAACTCTGATATCTTTTTATAAATTATACCTGTATATTCTCGTCGCTCTTTCGAGCGCAATTGAATCGGGAGCGAAGGCAGCATCGCGATGTTCGTCCTGACGAGACACGGATCCCGCAGACTTGTGGTAAACCTCCTGCCTCTTGCCAAACATGCGTTCAATTTTTAAGATCGTACGCCTTTCCGTTCATTTCTCCTTTATTTCTCTCTTACGTATATTACAGATAAGCCGTGGAGGGGTGGCACTAGCACAGCGATTAGCTAGGTAGTGTTTTGTTTTTCTATACGTATTTCTAGCAATAGAGACAAGTGTGGCGTGTCGCTTCTTGTTTGCGTACGTCGGGAGGACACGAGCCTGATCCCACGTTTTTTTCGGAATTTTTCGGAATTATTCCGTTATTCCCTGGAAAACCGTAGAAATCTGGGAAATAATTGAACAATTCCGATCGGAATCGATTGCGAACGGTTCCCGACAGATTCCTCACCTACAACGTGCCCCTTTGCGTCTAGAAACACATTCTATCTTGTAGTCAACGAGTTGAAAAAATGTGTGCAACTTGATAAATTTGTACAATATTGTCGACAAATTTTTGAAGATTTGCTCGTACAAAATATAATGTTTCTAGACGTAAATGGCACGTTGTAGATTATTAAAACAGACCTTGTAGTTACTGAAACGTACAGTTTTAAAACCTAATTAGGTTGTAATGCTGCTTTGTGGAGCTCGAAACCGATAAAGTTCAACATTCGAGAGTTCTCGTTAACAAAAGCATTAAAATCTCAGTGTTGGACTGATCAGCTCCGCACAAGTTAACGTTTGCAATCTTTGTAAATCAACTTTTACATCGTGCAAAAGCAGCTACTATAAAATTAGCGTCATAATTTGAATGATTGCATAAAATAATGGCGTTGACGTTTAAGTGTACAGCTGTTTAACGAAAAGAAACGGATACCAATTATACTTTTGTTTCACAGGAGCACTGCAGCTTACGACACCAGCGAATATCAGTTTCTGCAGGTCAGCAAGGTGCCAACGTTGCATTTTCAAAGGTCGCTGCCTCGTTTACCGATACCGAAGCTCGAAGACTCGTGCAGAAGGTATCTGAACGCGCAGAAACCTCTGCTGAACGACAAGGAGTTGCAGAACACGTCGTCCTGCGTCTCCAAGTTCCTCGCCGGTGAGGGGCAGAGCCTGCAGAAGCTGTTACTGCAGACCAATGCCGAGAATCCGCACACCAGCTACATCAGCGAGCCGTGGTTCGACATGTATTTGCAAGATCGCAAACCGCTGCCGGTCAATTACAATCCTTTCTTGGTCTTTGTGCCGGAATCCGATCCAAAGTACGACGCGCAATTGGTGAAGGCGACAAATCTCATCGTGTCGTCGTTGAGATTCCTAAAGTCGCTCAAGAATAACGTCCTAGAACCGGAGGTGTTTCACATGAAACCCGAGAAGTCGGACACCCAGTTGTTCCGCAACGTCACAAGTCTGATCCCATCTCGCTTCAGTTGGTATGGCGCTTATCTCTTTAAGGTACGAATCAATTAGGCGCGGGGTACACCGAGATAGGTCGACGGACGGAAATGCGTTTGTAACAGATTCAACGGCGCAGGCTTCTTTGTTGCAGGCTTTTCCGCTGGATATGTCCCAGTACAAGAATCTATTCAATACGACGAGAATACCGGAAGTAGGAAAGGATAGAATCTTTCACGATCCCGCGGCCAAGCACCTGGTCGTACTGAGGAGAGGTCACTTTTACGCGTTCGACGTTTTGAACGCGAACGACTCGATTCGTAGCCCTAAAGAGATAGCCGCGTGTCTGAAGGTCATCCTGGAAGACGACAGGCCGTCAAACAGACATCCCGTGGGCGTTCTCACGTCGTCGGAGAGAGATCAGTGGGCACGGGCGCGCGCCCATCTAGTCGAAACTGGCAATCGGCAAGTTCTCGAGAAAATCGACTCGGCTGCGTTCGCGATGATCCTGGACGACGAAGTCGGCGCCGACCAAAACAACTTGATTAAAACGTATTTGCATGCAGACGGTGCCAATCGATGGTTTGACAAGTCCTTTTCCCTCATTGTTTCCAAGGACGGTTACGGTGGGATCAACTTCGAGCACTCGTGGGGCGATGGTGTCGCGGTACTCAGATACTTCCAAGTGAGCAATACACTGTTTCAGCTCTCAGGCATTGTTAATGCAATTTCAACCGTAAACGCTTGAGAATTGCGAAATGTAAAGAAAAATCTTTTTCACCGTCCGTAGGATGTGAAAGCGGATGTATCAAAGAAACCAAGATTCCATCCCAATGAGGTGGATGAGCTTTCTAAGGAAAGCGCAAACGTAGAGAGATTAGAATTCTCTATAGACGCGCAGAGCGGGGGTTTCATCGATCAGCAGAGAGCAACTTATCGGGAGTGGGTGAATCGGCTGTGCATTGATTTTGTCGTTTACGAGGAGTTCGGTAAGGATCAATGTAAGAAGCTCGGGGTAAGTCCGGATGCCGTGATGCAGCTGGCATTCCAGTTGGCATTGTATACCCTAGAAGGCAAATCGGTACCAACTTATGAATCTTGCAGCACGTCTGCATATAAGCACGGCAGAACAGAAACCATCAGACCTTGTACGCTAGAGACTAAAGCGATCTGCGTCGCTATGACTCAGAAGCAGGTCGAGCTTTCTAAATCAGAGCTGAAAAAGATGATACTTGATTGTAGCAAAGCTCACAACGTGCTTACGAGAGAGGCCGTAATGGGTAATTACTTTATCGAGCAGTTTGCAAGTCAAATAGACTTGGAAGAACGTGTATAGATTTGACGATACTTTACAGGCCAGGGATTCGACAGGCATCTGTTCGCCTTGCGAAGAATCTCGGAGAAATCGGGTTCCGTTAGGCCAGCAATTTTTCAAGACCCGGCTTACGATGCTTTGAATCATAATATATTGTCTACGTCTACTTTATCAAGTCCGGATGTGATGGCTGGTGGATTTGGACCAGTCGTGTCCGACGGCTATGGAATCGGGTAAGGCATTCACATTACGTTACTGTCAACATTGGATATGGTGCGATCGTTAGCACCTTGTTCTTTTGATTGCGTTATTTTTTAAAGCAGAAATCAACGTGTTCTTTAGATACATGATCCAGGACAAACGCTTGGGTTCGGTCGTGACAAGTTATGATGGCAGCCGTAACGCCAATCAATATATACAAGCGCTAGCACATGCGTTCAAGAGCATCCACGACGTGTTACACTCGTAATAGAGTTGTTAGTTATGCAACTTGCCAGATATATTTAGTTACATCTTTATTGGGATATATATTTTTACGGAGATCGACAACTATTATTATATAATATTGTACATTTACAAGAATGTTTACAATTGTTATTCATATCAGAGGTAGGCACAAGTCTCCTTCCTTGGAGTCTTCTTTTTAACAGAGAAAGCAGTAACGGTGACGACTATTACCTCTGATAGTCCGAAACTTTTATACAGTTGTTAAATAAATATTTTTAATACTTTTTAAGGGATTGACAATCCGTGCTAACTTTTATAAACTATCTCCCCACATTAGTTGGCTAACGATTAGATACACGATTAAAATGTAAAGGATAGATTATAGTATTTTGTATTGATACTTTACTTACATCGACAAGACATATATACATTAACGAAAGCGAAAGCGAGCGCTATAACGCACTCGGAGTGTGAAACAAGAATTACGCTTTCTGATAAAAACTGCGGCCTATTGCAACTTTCATACATAATCTTCGCTATTTTTATGTCTCAAGAAAAAAGAAAAGTAGAATGTGTGTCCAAGACGATATAACGGACGATATTCACAGACACAGAATGGATGTTAAGTCACCTAGAATCGCACGAGTATAACCACATGCAGTAATATACCAAATTCGCACATTGGTATCAGGAAGGTTCTCCCCGATCTCACAATGATCTCGCAGATATGCAGTCATTCCTCTAGAATCCTCTTTACCGATGACTAAATGTGGAATGGAACATTGTGATCCCAATAATACTCCGCAGCTCATTCTCCCGCGATTTATGACAGTTTATCGCCCATCTTCACTCTGGATGTCTGTAAGAAAAATTCGTAAATATAAGCCCGCGATCCACCGTGGACACGTGGAGTCGCACTACCCAGTGAGAAATGATTCGTCGATCGACTTACCATATAAATGCCCACGATCAAACCGAAGAGCCCTATAGCGGAACCGAAGATCTCGACTATGAGAATCTTTACGAAAAGGGCAGAGTTGGCCGCGTCGGCGAGAGCAGCGCCGGAGCCGACGATGCCGACCGCTATGCCGCAGAAAAGATTGACGAGGCCGACGGCGAAGCCAGCGCCAAACATCAGGTATCCGGACAACCAGTTCTGATTCCTGACCGCCTCGTTCTCGTACGCCGTCGCGTACGTGAATTTCTCGAGCATCCCGGACAGCACGATGGCAGTGATCAGGCCGTAGATGGCTACGGCCTCGCAGAATATCACAGAAATCAAATTCTTCGTCTTGATCCTAGGGGCTTTCACGCCACCGCCAACGATAGACACTCCCGTTGTGTGGATACCTCTGGAAAGACAAGCCAGTGAAATAAGCAGGCGTGACACTCAATTCTATACCGAAGCTGGTAAACAGCGTTCGACTTACAGTGCCGCGCCTACCACGGACAGAGCCACCGACAGACCTATGCCCAACGTGCACCACATGTACGGAGAGGTATTCGTCAAGAACCTGAAACGGGAAACGAACGTTCGGTTCGGTATCTCAGCGCCAATAACGCGACAAGAGGTAAATCAACGACACAAGACGAATACACGTACCATCCAACGCTGACCTGCTCTCCCTTGCCAGTGAATACATAATACAAAACTGCAACACACAAAGTACATTATGTACAAAATATATAAATACAATATACGTTAAATAACGCTTCCGCGTGATTCTAGGATCACTCGATGGAATTGGATCGGCTCGACCAGCGAGATCGCTCGCTCGCGACGGCGGAGCGCGCAGAATTCGACGGGATATCAAAGGCACGAGAGGCCCCAACGGCGATACGTTTCCCCGTCTGTTATTTTGTCATAATACAAACGTACCTAAGATAAGGATCGTTGCCGAAGCGGTGATCGCGAATGTGTTACCCAAGATGTATCTCATCGCGACGGTGAGCCTCGTCGTTCGCTCAATACGGTGCACGCAGGATCCCGCGGTCCTCAAACACGGCCGGCACTACGGGGAGAAGCTAGGCAGCCCGGTGGTCCTCTCGTTTCTGTCCGTCTAACAAATCCTCGATCGGCTCGATCGTTCCCGCATCGAGAGGCTCACGAGATCACGCACACCCGTCGCCGTCATGTGACGACTGCTCTCCGGATTCTGGTGACTCGCTAGGGACTTTCTTTCTCCGGGGAGTCGCACGGCCGAGAAAAAATGTGTAGGACAGTTTCGGATCAGTTGTTTTTTTTTTAGCTACATTTCTCGCGAATTATTATTTTCCGCGTACAAAACGAGACGGACGTATAATTTTCGGGCACTCGAGAGAAATAAGGAGAGAGATGAAGAGCGAAAAGATCATTCGAGTGCAGAGAGTGCAAGTGAAACGAGCGGTTGTTCGCAGGTGTTTCGCGCGCGGTCGCGACTCTCGAGGTCGATTTAACTCTAGCCAACTCGATCGATTAAAGCCCGGTTTCACCAAACGTCGTTTAACTTTAGTCTTGGTTGGTTTTAGTTTATTAATTCACGTTCGTCTCTTTCTAAAGTAACAGTTAGAAAGAGATCAAGGATTAATTAAGCTAGGCGACATTGGTGAAATCAGGCCTAACTCAGCCAATCGTTTGCGGCAAAATTTCAAATTGCCATTTTCAGTCTAATCCTCTTTTTACGTGCACAATGAAAAGATTAATCTTTCTGTCAATATTTAATTAATCCGCTTTGCAGAAGTCATCCTGACACAGACATGACTTGAATTAAACTCCTACTTTGTAAAATTATCAGCCAATTGTTTGCGGCAAAATTTTAAATTAGACAGCTATTTTCAGTCTAATCCTCTTTTTACGTGCACAATGAAAAGATTAATCTTTCTGTCAATATTTAATTAATCCGCTTTGCGGAAGTTATCCTGACACAGACATGACTTGAATTAAACTCCTACTTTCTAAAATTATTGTAAAATTACTATACTTTGATCAGGTACATTAAACCAGCAAACAACTAACAGTTACACACCACCAATATTATAATTTTCTTCTCAACAATGTAAAGTCTATTGTACATTAAATTTATATTATTGAATGGGGAAATTATAATTTTATATGTTCTGATGTTATGTAACTGTTGACGTTTCCTAGGTAAGAGAGATCGGGCGTTACGAATTCTCGATCATCGCCCCTGCAAAACGGACTTGCCTGATCTATCGATGCGCGAGATCCTCGGTTAATTTTCTATAAACGGAATCGTCGGGCGCGTTTACGCAAGAGGGAACAAACGTGCCGAGACGACCTAATTTTAGAATCCGTCGCATTCGCGCCTCCGTTTCGCGACGTGGAGGCAGAATCCCGCGAATGTTTCGTGTTAAACGCACAATCGATCGCTCCCGATAAGCGATTAGCGCTAATGTCTCTGACGAGAAAGGGGTAAGCCAAGCTGCTTCTTGATCCCGGCTACCGACAGCCGTCCCACCTTCGTCCCAGATCCGTTTCCTCCGTGCGGAGGTATTCGCCGCGAAAACTGGGACGGTTCTCCGTCTAATGACAAATTCCACGGACGGAATGTTCGCTTCCGCGACCGGACGGGCCGTCGTTCGTGCGCTATTTCTGTCTGCGATTAAATTTACAGCGGTAAATTTAGAGAATCGACAGAAATACGTTCGTCGCTGCGACTGGTCTGCAAAAACCTGGGGTCGCCATCGTGCGCCCATCAATTTTCAGACACATGAGTTTTGTGCGCCAGTTACATATTAGTGTGCGACATCGCATACATGTACGCAAATGCGTTTGCAGTGGATAAAATTAAAAATCTTCAATTACAGACAAATTCGGAAGCATCTCCTGTGTCTTTTGATGACGACTTTTTCTCAAATAAATGATAATACGAGTCCCATGCGTTTTTTCCAGCGAAAATGTTCTTCCACAAATGATTATAATACATCGATTTCTAGAAAGAATATCATCGCTCTCACTGTATTTCATCGTAGTCGGAAATGTTCCGAGTTCACCTTTGTTTTTCGATATGTTGTTCGTTTCAATAACGGCTGTTAAAGACACTCAGGCCGGTATTCATAGTCAGAATTTGTATTCAGGACCGTCTTGAATCTTTATCTAAAGATGCTGTATGGAATATTTCATTGGCTATGGAGTATCCAAAGATAATCTTAAGACTGTCTTGAATATAAGATTTGACTATGAATACCGACCTCCGAATTTACATTTATTGCGTTGCACGAGTTTCTCTCGTTTTCGGATTTCATATCAAGTGGCGTATTACAAAATTTGTACTTTTCATCATTCATCTGTTGTTACAGAAATGTCTCGCTCGACGAGTTTCGTCGTGCCGTGCATAATGCCGTATCGCAGGAGCCGTTCGCGGCTCGATTCGCGGGGCTGTCCGCGTCGGGCGACAGGCGAGGAATGGTCGAGATGCTCGTGGAGATGCCGTGCGTGGCGGGCTTGAAACTGGGCGACTTGTACGAGGGTAAGAACGACGCGCAGGCCGCGCGGCTGTACGAGAGATCGCTCGGGACGGCGACGGAGTCCGGAGACGAGCGCGCGGAGGAGCTCAAGACGAGTAATATTCTCACGCGAGCACTGTTTGCGGCCGGTGCGAGCGGTAGAGTGTTTCTAGATGCGATCTGCGAGCGCGCTAGGCGCTCCTACAGTTTGCGCGCTTACGCGAGCTGCCTGCGGGACTGCGACTGCATGCTGGCGCTTCCTGCGAGTCTCTACGACGACTCCGCGGAGAACGTCAAGTACTTGGTGCAACGTAGGAAGGAATGCCTTCAACTAGAGCGGGAGTGCACCCGGAAATTGGAGGCCGCGTCCTTCAAGAAACGCGGCGGCCGTCAACGGCCGTCCTCCAACACTTCCTACTCCTCTTCCTCCTCCTTCCGTTCTTCTTCCAGCAGTGCGTTGCCCACCATCGATGGCAAGCCGCACGTCTGCTTCACGAGCTGTCCGGACAGCGTCGAGCTGCGGTTCGACGAAGCCAGGGGCCGGCACCTCGTGGCTGCGAGAGACATCAGGCCGGGGACTGTGCTCATTGTCGACCGGCCGTTTTCCTTTAGCACGGACGCACCAGCTCTCGGCAGGAATTGCTTGCATTGCCATGCGACACTTAAATTAGAAGACAGCGTTAGAATCCCGTGTCGTGATTGCCAAACAGTTAGTAGAGCGCATGATTTACATGCTACGCGCCGTGTACATAGCGCCAGACCTGGTTATCCATACCTTCGCCTGTTAGTTCCCGTGTTAATTTAGCGACTTTCTTTCTTTGCGTGCCTTTCCACAGCTTGCGCGTCACAGAAACTTGGATACAAATTTTGTCTCGCGTTCTCCAGGTGGCCTTCTGCGCGGAAGCGTGTCGCAAGGAAGCGTGGGAGAAGTATCACCGGTACGAGTGCTCGGTGTTCGATTACTTCTTCGAAAATTCGTCCAACAGCGAACGCCAGCGAACGTCTTATCTCTTGCTGGCTTACCGCACCACGGTCATGCAAGCGCTGTCGCTGCGAGACGGCGCGGCGACCACGTGCGTCTTGAATCCCGACTTCCTACGATACCACGCCAGTGGTGATGCAGGAGATCACGACGTTAGCAGGGAGTGCGCGGACTCGGGGTCGAAGAGGACGTACAGTCCTCTGGATTACCGAACGGTGTTCCAACTGGAGACCCATTGCGCTGACGTGGAGGCCAACGTGAATCTCGTACGCGCCGCCGAGGCGATCTTTCTCGCGAAATGCCTGACCTCGGTTCTCAGCAAACTGGACGTGGTCTGCGCGAGGGAGACGTTCGTTTCGTTGGCCGCGGCTATGCTGCACCATTTGCAGGCGATCGTCTGCAACGCGTACGAGATTGTCGAGAACGTCCATGACGAGGCGACGCGCGTATGGGAGCCTAGGAACGTTGGTGCAGCGATCTACACCACGGTCAGTCTCGTGAATCACGGCTGTTACCCTAACGTGGTTCGCCACTCCTATCCGAACGGTAAGCGAGCCCGATCAGGAACGAGCCTGGCTGTACAAACTGACGAGGACGGCGACGAGACGAGCGAGATTCTGATAATTGTTACACGTTACAGGAGCAGTCGTGGTCAGAGCGCTGCGCTTCATCGGCAAAGGATGCGAGTTACTCGACTGCTACGGGCCTCACTTTCTCAGCGAGAGCAAACTCAACAGGCGCGAGCTCCTGTGGAAGAAGTATCGATTCCTATGTGGCTGCGACGCCTGCAAGCAGAACTGGAAGTGTCCGCCGGCTGAAATAACGAGTTACAAATGCACGGCGTGCGCCGAGTCGACGGGCGTCTTGATCGCAGGCGCGAGGGCGACGAGTCACCGATGCGCCAAATGCGAGAAAATCATTGATTTGAGGAGAATCGAGAAGCAACTTCGAAAATCGATTCAAAAGAGACTGTGCGCCATCGCGAAAATGTATCAGGGGAATTACAGAGACGCGCTGCCTCTGCTGTTCGAGCACGCGGACTTAGTCAACAAACACTTGGCCGAGCCGAATATTGAAGGTATCAAAACAGAACAGTGTATCGTCCAGTGTTACAACTCTCTCGGCTCTATCTCCATGTGACAACTCACCAGTTGATTGAAAACAGTCTATAAGTGAAATTATTTAAATTTATTCTACAGCTTTGTGAAAAACGCGACACAATCCGCTAAGAACAGATACTTCCAGCTTCCTATTCTGGAATGAGAAATTATGCAAACAGCGAAACTAGAAAATACACGGAACAATAATCCTCAATTGCATTCTCGGTAACAGTCGCTGTATAACATGAGGCAATTAGATTAGACTAAGATCATTAAGAAGCATATAATTCCGTGGTAAAATGCGTGATACAAAACGAGTTAATCGATTACCTATCGTACAACGATAGGTCATCAGCGTATACATCGATAGAATACCAAAGATAATAAAAAAAAAACCGAGCTCGAATTTTACGTCTTGCGAATCAAATAACGATCCGGTTGCGGAAACGCGCATTTTATATACGATGTTATGCCTCCTTCATGCTCACGTACTATAAAAGTGGATGACGTAACATAACAGAACCATTGCTTCTCAATAGCGATACATATACCTTACTTGTGTGAGAAAGACAAGTGTTATGTACAATAATTATCATCATATACATTGGTAAAGTACATCCTTCAATTCAGTTCATTAAAACACAGAGATGTAATACCTAAATTCAACTAGAATCTGGCGAGGTGGCGATTTAGGCGTTCGATTACCACATGTGTGTTTCTCTAATTTCGCTAATGATGTGACCTGCTTGAGTCAGTGCCTGCGGAATCAGAGCAATTGTCAGCGATCAATTGTTATAAAGAAGCTTCGTATTCAACTTTCATGTACCTTAAGCATGTCCGCTGTTTCTTTACGCCTAACAGCGATGTGTGCGCTCTCGATCAACAGAGCCTCAGCCTGATCCGATTTGTACAAATGTGTGACAAGTTCGCTTTGTAGATTATCTTTCACGTAGTTGACTAGGAAATGCATAACAGCCTTTGGTACACTATCCTGAATGGACTTCCGTACAATATAAAAGTATGATCTTATGAGCCTTTCTGTCGAGCAACGAGTGAAAGAAGAAAATTAAATTTTGTCAACATACTGTGTGACGTTTAATACGACGTAACTTCCTTACCAATAATATCACAATCCCGTTGCTCACGATCGCTGAGCTTTCGAGACGTCTGTATCGGTACCGCCGGAAGCAGATTTACTGGCTTTTGTTGCGGGGACGCTTTCTGCAGTTCGATCGCTGGATACGGGGAGCTATTATTTTCACGCATTCTGACCGGAGACCCGTCCGCGGAACTAGTCGACTCGGTTCTTCCCTGGAGTAGCAAGTTACTTAGCAGCCAGTGATTCTGCTGTCCTTGCTGTTCCTTAGTCTGATCGGAAACAGAGTTCATCTCATCTTGATTATTGACTGATTTTACAATCTGTTACAAACGCAAGTTCACTATTAGTCGCGAACGTGACGCAATAAAGTACAAGTGGCTCGGACAACATGTTGAAGTGTTGAGCACGCAAACGTTGCTAGCCAACATTTAAATCATTACTCTTGAAACAATAACTTCATTAATGAGTTACGCACAGAATGAAATAAATTGGTATAATAAATTTCGCAAAAGAAAAAACAATAAATAGAAATTACTTACAGTATCATTGGAGATTACGGTATTGACTATAGTACTGGATGCTGAAGTTAGTCGTTTGTTGTGCTTCAAATGATCCACATCAGCGTCCTTCAGTAGAGACGATACAAATGCCGCATCTTTGTGAAAGTCGGGATGCTTAGTGTTAATGTACGCCAATTCTATCGCAACCAAGTTCTCTACCTTTTTTCCCCCCCCAGAAATCATCACGTTAGTACGAGGGATACGTTATGGATACACACAGACAACGGATATTTTAGTTTTACCATTGAATTGGTAGGTGGGAGCCGTGTACGTAGCAACTGCGTGACAACATCGACGATACGCTCGTGCAGTTTAGGAAAACGTAGCATCTCCTGTTGCACCTCAGTGCCGCAATGCTGTATTATGCTCTGCATTTCTTCGTGCACGAGCTCTACGCACCGTAGCGAGGGATCCTCCAACTTTCGTATCTGCCGTTTGACCAGCAACTCGAAGGAGACCTCTGGCACGAAGAGAGCCGGCCTCGGACCAGTTGCATTACGGATAGCAGTCAGTATGTCGACTTTACTGAGGTCTGCCAGTGGATTAATTGAATCGAGCGTTTTACCAAAGGTCTCGTGAAATATGTAGCAAATGCGAGCGCCGCCGCACAGCTCGGTGGTTTCTATGTTCCTCGCTGTTCCCTCTATCGTAGCGCAGTAGCTGTTTGCAAACTTGGTGATGATCTGCAGCAGGGTCTGGCTCTTGTCCTCGACGTCCCCGCCATAGGAATTGAGCAGGGTTTGATACTGCGCGACCATCGTGTTCACTCTGTTCTGTTTTCAAAAAGCACAAGTTCTACCAAATTATGCTCACTTTAGTAGATTCTAGCTATATCCTGCATATACGACAACTCTACTGTTAATGTCATTACCTTCAACTCCGGCAAACAGTCTCTAATATGTTGCATAAGTAAACGATTAAGAGTCTTTGCTAAGTACGGAGTGCCGTTTCTGTTGGCCAAAGTTGGATATTTACGTTGCAAGAATGTGGCCTCGTCCTTCAACGCTTCCTTAATACTCTTATTGTTCATTATATCTTGCTGGGAACGATTGACTACACCTATAATGCCCAGTTTGACTGGGATGACTCTGCCGCATAGAATGTCTATGGCGTCGGTTCCTAAAAGAGAAAACAAAGACGTACGAATTATTTTACACACACACGCAATCGTCAGTTTTGCCTTCGACAAATTCGAAGCGGGCGCGCGAACAAGCGCGGGAAGACTCAATTTACCAGCATCCATGAGATCCAATTTTGTAACGACCGCGAGCGTTCGTCTGCCGTCCGGGTCGACGTCTTTGCTGAGCTTTAAGCTCTCGCTCGTGGCCATGTCGGTGTTGGCAGTGACGACCGCTAAAATTATAGAGTTAGGGCTGCATATGTACTTCAACACGAGCTCGCGTATCTGAGCCTCGATGTCCTCCGGCTGATCACCCACTGGCACTTTCGTGATACCAGGCAGGTCTATAAGCGTCAGATTAACGACGGACGTCGAGTATATCTTAAGGTTAATTGGCTCCGGACAGATCCCTTTGTTCGCCCCGGCCATCCGGTCAGTTTCCGCCTCGATCTCCACGCGAATGTCGTTGAAGTCCTTGTAAATCCTGTTCTTCGTGTGCAGGAACATTCCCCACTCCTCCAAGTCCAGGGTGCCATTCTCCGCATTTCTGTGCTCCCGATCGTCCCTCGGTGTGTACACAAGCTGCAGTATTAACGGACGCCGCGTGACGATGCCGGTCCCTCGTGGTAGAAAAGAACGGCCCACCAGGCTCTCTATTACGGACGACTTGCCCGAGCTCTGAAAAATACAACGTTCGCATTCACGCTACGTTCAACAATAATTGCATCATAGTCGACGTGGACTCTAGATCAAAATTTCTTCGCGAGTGGCCAGCCGAATACTTTGTCTCTGCCTCTCGATTGATCACACGTAAACACGATACCTAGGGAAGCAGTGAGCTCCGAGTGAACTACATTTTTCCTGAATAGCGCACCACTCATCAACAGATCGCCGTTACATCGCTCGTGATAAGGGAAAAAAAATTTGAACATCCATCAACAATAACCGACGCCAGACCCGCTCCTTTCGGCCGCGTCCTCTCTCTCTCTTTCTCTCGCAATTCGTTCTCCTACCGGAAGGAGTGGAGTCGCGTACTCGCTTAACCTCGAGAGGGTGGCAAAGTCCGAGAAGGACGGTTCGCTGTTATCGGTTCGGTTACCGAGCGAAGGGTGACTCGGGCTAACCTGCGTGCCCAGAACGACGATCTGCGGCAGTTGCAGCACGGTAGCGCCGACGGTGTTGAACACGTCCTGCAGTTTGTTTATCACAGGTATCAGGGCTTCCATGGTGGCTCCGGGTGGTGCGACGATGAAGCCTTCCGCGTCGCGTCTTGTGTCGACGGGCGAATCGATCGGGCGGCGAGGCGGTCGGTCGGTCGGTTACGAAGCCGGGTTTCGAGTAACGCTCGGCGCTCCTGCTCTCTCTCTCTCTCTCTGCTCTCCACTCCTCTCCCCTCCGCGCCGCTCGCGACCCTGCTCTGCCGCGCGGCTCACCTCTGCATGCGTCGCGGCGCCGCAACGGAAGCAGATATTCCGATTAGACGGTCGACGATGATGCGCCGAATGACCGTAATTTCACTCGAAATAACTTTGCACACCGGAATGATGCACAGTTGCACACACCTGATTCCGCCGCCCCTTCCCGCGCTCCGTAATCCGCGCGCGCGTGCGCGCGCACCCGCTTCGTTGTGTGACGTGACGCACGACGTGCGTTGCACGTACGTGCGAGCTGACGCTACGCAACACGCGCGTAGATCCCATTATTTCTGAATTGATCTATTCTTCTATTCAGAAATCAAATATTTTCGGACTTCGTGTTTTATAAGACATTAACAAAAGATCTTTCTACAACGTACGTATTTAAGAAGGTCTTTTAACATCTATTTTTATCCAAAACTATGAAAAGATACAGGAAATGATACACTTGATTATTTTTCTTAAATATTAATACAAATTCATGAAAATATTATTAAGTATCAATCTTTTTATACATTTGAATTTTATATGACTAATTTAAGTCTTTTTACCTTTGCGGAGAACTTGCGAGTTGGAAATAGAAAGTACAACGTTTGCTCTGTGCGCTCCCAAGCTACGAGATCTAGTCGAGAACAAATCTCCAAATATAGTTTCTGCTTACACTATGAGAAATGTAAAAAAGAACACCAATCCTAAGTTGTATCTGCAAAACTGTTTGAAGAAGTGGAAGCAACTGTTTAGTATACTGTGTAAACGTGCAATAGCCTATTTAAATAGCGCGCGGCTCCTTGCGTCGCCGCCATCTTGCCACCGTCTGCGCGCGCTGCGGCTACTAAGCATCGCATTGGTCGCTTGAGATCCTAACATATTTCCTAACCGATCACGTGTGTGTGGTCCGCGCGGCTCGTGCCGGCGAGCATCAAGTGTTTCATTTGGGACGCCGAGTGGTGCACACGTCTTCCGACCGAAGGAAAAATTTTTGATCCTGCGGGATTGCATCATCCCGCGCGTGGCCCGGTTACCGGCCATTAGGAGACCACCGGAGGACCATTAAGACTACCGGTTCGCCGAGTCCGCGTCAGCTCACGCTGTAGAATCTGGGAGCCAAAAAAAACCCGAAGAAGAAGCGCACCCATCAATGGCCGGCCCGCCGACGGGGTGAGTTTGTGAAATTTATTAAATTTCTTTCCGGCAAATTTAACGCGATACATGTCCTCTCATGCTTGTTTGTAATGTGCTACAATTAGCTCGCCTCTTGTTTATTGTAATATTGTAAGGTAGTCGTGATTGAGAGTCCTATTAACTTTATTATTTCAATTACAAGTATCATCACAAAGATATTAAAAGTGTAAGGTAGTCGTGATCGAGAGTGACTTCTGGCACGAATCGTACGGTATATATCGCGGGAACGCGAACGACCACGCGCGATACTCTTTCGGTGCGAAGTGCGCTCTTTTCGCCAACGGCCGATGCCGCGATTCCCTTCGACGGTTCTCGAAGGGTACGCCCGATTTCGGACACGGTTCCTTCGTGTGTTTCCGCGGAGCACGATAATCGGCGTAGCACGCTTTCGGTGCGTGATACCGTGCTCTTCGACGCGTCGTAACGCTCGCGTACGATCGGTGGTAGGTGCCTTACAATATTTATTTGTGTAACACCAAACGATCACTTAATTTTGTTCAAGACGGAAAAGTCGAAGGTGTTAGATAAACCAGCACACATCTCGCAGGTTTGGGACAATATTGTTGCCGTTACCATAACTTCTCGTACACCTGAAGGTCTCCGACGCATCAGGGGTACACACAGTCCCGAGACACAAACTGCCGATATTCAAATTCCTCAAGATGTACGAGAGCCGGTTTATGTTGTGTACAAGCGTGTCGAAACTCAACAAGATGAGAAACGTGTGCATAATCGCCGAAGATCCGAGCGGTAGAATGGTCTCGCTCAATCCGGATCATAGAAACACCATACAGGTACGCGATATACTCCGTATATATATATATATATATATATATATATATATATATATTATCCTGAGTTAACGTACTACTCTCTATCATGATTACTTGCTTTATAGATATTAAAGATTTTGAATAATGTTTGCAGGATGGGCAAGTCAAGTTGCCATATTGCCCGATGCACACCTATAAACCGTTGTCCGATAAAGGCTGGGCGGAACAAGAAATGACATCCTTGCCCAACGTAAAGATGAAGATTCTCGAGTCTCGTATGCAACAATTGTTAGCGTCGCACAACGGCATTCTACCGTTGCTAAGGTGCGTTTTTCTTATTCATATTCATCTTTGTACACGCAGTACGAAAGAATTATGTCGTGCCTATTGATATATATATATCAATATATATATATCAATATATATATATATATCAATAAGATTAAAATGATAAAATAACAAAAATTAATATTAAATTAATAATTTTACAATATTATATATATGTAATATTGTAAAATTATTAATTTAATATTAATTTTTGTTATTTTATCATATTTTACAATATTACATATATATAATATTGTAAAATTATTAATTTAATATTAATTTTTGTTATTTTATCATTTTATTTTTATTGCTTTATTGCTAATATTATTTCTTTATGAATGTATTGTATCAACATGAAAATAACTTACTAATATTATTAGTACTCACCTGCTTGTTCATGTTACACTCTGGGTTTGTCACTAAATTAGTTGGATCAAGATCGGATACATTTTTAAGAATTTTTACATTTACAGGTGTAGCTCGATTTTCTTCTCGCAATTTATAATTTGATGGAGGACATTCAATCGTCTCATTGAATGTATTTGATATATAATATATACACATTATGCACAAATATATGTATAATGTGTATAAAACAATATAGTTTTATTTATTATTTTATTTCTACAATTACTTACAATTATGCATGTCATCTTCAGAGTCGCCATAGTTTTTTTTTCGTTATCAAACGAAAAACTATATTGTTTTATACACATTATACATATATTTTTGACTAATGTGTATATATTATACATATATCAAATGCCTCCAAGAAATGAAAGACGATTGAGTTTTGCAGGCAACGCTTTGACTGTTTCATTCAAAGCGACCAATTTACTGTCATCTTAAGTAGATACATCAATACACACATTCTCTATTTGTCGAGCCCTGTCAAATGTATCGTAAGGTCCCAAAATCTTACGACAACTGCAAACTTCCCAATCATCTTCAGGATTTATCTTTCTCTTTACTGCGCTGCTGGTATTATATTTAGAGAGTCGAATTCGACTTTTTTTTCCGGCATCCATCCAACTGTCGGGAACGACTTGACAGAAGTTTTCCCATAATATAACGTAATACATCTGAAATAATACCGATTATGGTAAATACTTATGTACAGGGTGAGGAAAAAGTATGTAAACCCATAAATTTTTCAAAAACTATGCATTTTAGAAATAAATGTTTCAGACAAAAGTTATATGATTTCAAGGAAGACATAAGATAGTATCATTAGTTTGTCCTTGGATAGTCGTTTGAAGGTTACATGAAGGTAATCTTGAATTTTTAAATGAAAACCTGCTTTTTTATTATATCATTTTTTTCTATTAATTTGAACAGACAACTTTTGTAAACATTAATGGAAAATGGAAGCCCCATTAAGGGTTGAGGAACACTGCTAACAGATGGCTTACTTTTGGCAATGCATCTGGTTTCATTAATGTTCTGGGTCATTGAAATCTATATACGTATAAAATAATTTTTTAGATATTCAAAGAAAACTGAGCAACTTTTTCAATATTCATCATACGATATGTCGATAACTGTTTATCGTGAGGAAAAATGATACATGACTGTTGACTTTATTTGCTGTGAAGAATATGCTGTTGCAATAGTACTCCAACTTTGATAAATATTTATGTACACATCTCCTTTGAGTTTTCATGTATACACAAATGTTTATAAAAATTGAACTATCGCAACAGCATATTCTTGATACCAAATCAAGTAAAAATATCCTGTATCATTTTTTTTCACGATAAACAGTTATCGAGATATTGTATGATGAATATTGAAAAAGTTGTCAAGTTTTCTTTGACTGTTAAAAAGTATTAGACAAATAAAAAAATTTTTCAGACAAAAGTTGTCTGTTCAAATTTATAATTAATAGAAAAAGATGATGTACAAAGAAATGAAGGTTTCCATTTACAAAATTCAAGATAACCTTCATGTAACCTTCAAACGACCATCCAAGGTTAAACCAATGATGCCATCTTATGTCCCCCTTGAAATCATACAACTTTTGTCTCAAACATTGGTTTGTAAAATGCATTATTTTTTAAAAATTGAGAGATTTCCATACTTTTTCCTCACCCTGTTTAATTAACACGCTCTTTTATCATAGAAAATCATAAGTGTACTTAGAACTTTTAACCTTTAGAGGACAGGAAGTAACTTTTTGGACTCCACTATGATGCCTTATTTTTCATAGTATAACACTTTAACAAACATGAAAGATATAAATAAAATTAACCTGATGCTGGTTGTCACATAAAGGAATACCGCCGTCTAAAACCAGCTAAAATTATAAAGTTTTATATAAGTAACTCTTATATCAACTCTGTTGGGATATATTATGTTTAGTTTAGACAATTTTAGAGGCGGTATATATAATAATCAAATAATCAAAATTAGTGCCTTTTATTTCTTTGTAAGTCTAATGAAAATGGCGCGATCCTGTTAAAATATCAACGTTCAAAAATGCGTTGGATCTCTGAGACCCGATGTAGATGGCGCCGGGTTAAAAATTCATGAAAAAATATGCACGTTCTCTAAGGATTAACAATAATTAAACTTGATTATTAATTAAAAATATTTTTCAAAATTGTTAAATATGTTATACGGTATCATTATAATATATTGTATAGTATATATATGTATATATGTATTATATATATATATATAATGATAAATTTTGGAAAATACTTGTATTTTTCAGTAGTAAATAACTCACTTCAATCATTAGTGTGTAGAATAGGGATTGTATAAAATGTATTTTCGTATGGAAGTCGCATCCCTTTGGCAGTTATTTCATTTATTGGATACATTCTATCTTCTGACCATTTATCTCCGATATGGATTCCTAAATGCCGTGAATCACATGGATAGGAAGGAACACTGTAAGAATTTTGCAATATTTTTCCAAGTGTAACTGTTTCTCCATTCTTCTTGCCAATATATTTAATCTTGAGAACATATTTGTTATTTGTACAGGGTGTCCCAATTTAGTGTCCCACCCAAATAACTTTTTTATTTTTAACTTCAGAAAAAAACATTTCAGACCTAATTCGGTTCGAAGGGGGACACAAGATGGTACCATTAGTTTGACCTTGATAAGTTGCATGAAGGTCATGTATAGGTCACCTTTAAGTTTTTTAATGGAAACCCCCTACTGTTTATTATACTATCTTATTCTACTAATTAATATACATAAATTTTGCCTGAAGCATTTTTCGATTTGCCTAATACTTTGCGAGATATTCAAGAGAAAATTTATAACTTCTTCAATATTTAGCTTACAATATCTCGATAACTGTTTGCCGGAGGGAGAAGTAGTACAGGACTTTTTTACTTGATTTGGTCTCAGGAATATGCTGTTGCAATAGTGCTCCAATAATTGAAAATTGTTGTGTATGTAAATTTGGTGTATGTTACAATATTGGAACACTTTTACAACAGCATATTCCTGAAACCAAATCAAGTAAAAAAAGTCCTGTACTACTTTTTCCTCCGACAGACAGTTATCGAGATATCATAAGCTAAATATTGAAAAAGTTGTCAATTTTCTCTTGAATATCTAGCAAAGTATTAGGCAAATCGAAAAATGCTTCAGGCAAAAGTTATTTATAATAATTAGAAGAATAAGATAGTATAATAAACAATAGGGTGTTCCATGTAAAAAATTGAAGGTGACCTTTACGTGACCTTCATGCAACTAGTCACGGTCAAACTAATGGTACCATCTTGTGTCTCCCTTCGAACCGAATAACTTGTGTCTGAAAAGTTTTTTCTGCACTTAAAAATATAGTTATTTGGGGTGGGACATTAAATTGGGACATCCTGTATAACAGTAAGAATCAGCCTCTTTAATGCAGGACAGTGTAAAGTTTTTAAATTTTGCTTCTTGATAAGAATGTGTACATCCAAACAATAATTCTTCATTCTTGGCTTTTTTAAGAATGGGATAATCTTGAGATTCATGTCCAACATTTGTAGTATTTTCTGATTTTTCCATTAGTCGTCTATGCAATTGTTGCAACGGTTGTGCACTTTTCCTGAGCATGTGCTTCATTTCTTGAAAATAATTTTCGAATGGAAAAGCGCTAAACATATCGAGACATCCAAAATTCTTAACATCTTCAGGCAAATGAATCAAGACCATTTGTCATTCGAGTATTTCCTGGATATTGTCAGCAGACCTGATGAAATGTTACGCACTCTTCAGAATACAATACTTTAAATGCTTGTACAAAATGTACTAGTAATTCACGTGCATATTCATTATTGTATCTACAATCGCTAGGATTGCAAAGAATGGAAATTGCACAGTGTAGGACATAAAAGTGTTTCAAGTAATCATTTGGCAAATACGACCACAAAGTAGCCAAGCTCGTATATAGGAGAAACAGTCTAAACTCTGTCGCTTTCCAGCGATCCAATTCATCCAAACTTCTTGGTTTTCTAGAAAATTCTTTAGGTATGTGTTCCGGATTCAATTATGAATCTCGGTCTGTTCGTCACCGGCGTGATGGCAGCATCAGCCGGGTTCAGAGCGTGCAGCGCCACAGGAGCGCTGCGCGCGCATGCCCGATCGCAACGCGAGGCGACGGCGCTTCTTCACGCTCGTTTCCGGGGCTTTTTCGCTCATGGCTACCGTACACTGTACACGCGTCGTGTAGTGCTAAAGATTCTCAAGTGATATAGTGGACTTTCTTCATCACGGATAGACTCAGTGTGGACACGTAGTGAACTCAGCAGTGCGATTCAACCAGGACAGCTCGGGATACAGCATCACCGGCGGCTCAAGCTCACCACGCATCGCACGCCGGCGTCGCGTGGACACGGCTCACGGGCATCTACAATCACGAGGCCGGTCATCGATTAATATAATCGACCCGTGCAAGTGACACAGAGACTGATCATCCCCATTAAACCCTAGACTGCGCAAACTGTAAGCTTTTACATTTATTAAACGGACCACGGTATTTTACACAATCGATTCGAGTTACGATCACGTGATTTCTACCCTCTCACGCGTACATCCGTTCCTCGAGCCTCTCACCGCTAAGTCCTCTCAGCCCTGCTTCCAACCGCAGCGGTCCAGCGAGCTCTCCCAAAGAGAGTCGCGAACAGTATGTATGGTATTAACAGTTTCAAATCTGTAGACAATTGATTTATTTGAGAAGCACGCAATTTAATACCCTTTATTCCTTTAATTCACAATTTTGTAAGTCTTCATGACACCGAGACAAACGAGATGCATATAATCCAAGGGAAACTGTGTAACCATTTTCAATGCTATGTTTTCAAAAGGTGAATCATTCATATGATGATCTTCATTATGTCGTAATAAGAAACTTTCATCCGTACGTAATGGAGCGTATTCATTGAGAAATAACATTCGATTATCCCTCCATTCACCTTCCTCTTCACATTTGTCGCATCCATAGTATCCTGTATGACCTTTAATGCATTTCATGAATGCTTTTGCAGGAGCATCGCATATTACAGCATTTATCAAAATTTTGTATTTTTTCTCTCCATACTGAAATCCATTATCTTGAATGTCATTATATTCTTCAATAAATTGATGAATGATTTCATCAGGTTTGCTCGGTTTACAATATCCATGAAATACTCCAATGACAAATGGTTTTTCTCTATAAACACTGTGAATAATTTGACCTAAAAGTGGCCAAAAGTGTGCTTTTGAACTTTTTGCCAATGGTAATCCGTCAATGCTCAAATTGAGTTTTATTTGATTTTCAGTTGGTTCATACACAGGTCTCGTGTGTCGTAAATGATCGTTCAGTGCTCTCTGCAATCCGCGATAATAAAAAGTACCAGAATAACTATTAATCGTTGACGTTGTTTTTGGAGATTCTAACAATGTTTCGTGCATCACAAGGAAAATTTTTATGTCCATTCGCTCTCAGACCTTTGAGTAATTTTGTAAGACCTACTCGAGTAATATTATTCTCAACACTCCACATCTGTAAAAATTCTCGTAAGGAAAGTTCTTTCTGTATATTTAAATTTACATCTTCATAACAGTCAGTATTATTATCATTCAATTGTGATGCATCAAAATCAGATTCTCCATAATTTGAATAAGAGTCCTACGTTCGTCAACGTCTTCAGACATATGTACATCGTTATTTAAATAATCATTATTTTCAACAAAACATTCTTCGACTACTGGGTGCTGGGACTGCCCTCGAAAGAGGACAGAGTCCGCAGTAGTCGATGTTAGATCGAGATAATTTGACAGTATGTACTGGAACGTTCTCGATCAAGCTTCGACTACTGGGTGCTGGGACTGCCCTCGAAAGAGGACAGAGTCCGCAGTAGTCGATGTTT